CTCTATTAACATTGTCGTTAAGATTAAACTCTATGCTGAATCGTTGTAGTTCATGCCCGTCTGCCTACCTACTCCAACAAGTTGGTATACAGTAAGTTGTATGGCGCGATAGAGATCTGAACTCTTCTGCGATTTGTCCACATCGCTCACAAGCGCTTTTTCGACATGCGACCGTACAGTATGCACCTTGCTGGTAATTTGCTTCCAAGTTCCTTGGAAAATGCATCGCAGACACCATTGACATCTTCAATGTTGTCTTGAATTTTGTCTCGGGTTGTGTCTTTGGCCGCTTCTTTGCTTTTATTAATTTCCTCCGTAAGTTTTCCTTAATTCGGTTCCTTAGGTGTTCCATAACAATCCTATTATTTTCACCCTTCTGCCACGATGTGTATTGTCCATGTAGCGCACCATTCTTTTCTTTATTCGCTTCAAAATAACCATCAAGTAAACCCTTTACCGGTTCAGTGCCCAAATCCCATCTATCCACACATCCAAAACTCTATTTTCAAAATTCGACTTAGTGAACTTGCCAGCACAATCACTCACGTTCTGAACAATATTGTGAAGATTTCCCGGTGTCGTGGCCTTTTTTTTATTCGTCAAGCCATCAACAAGCTTCTCTATCTCTTCTATAAGCAGCGCCAAATGGCCATTTATCGTATCATTTCCCTTATCCTCCATCTTTCCTACCGTTCTTTTCAAAGTCGCAAACTCCGTCTTAGCCTGATCCACCAGCTTGTCAAGCTCTCCCTTTTTGTGCACTAATCTAACATAAACGTTATTGACCTGTTTTTTGATCTCATCAAACTTCTCATATATCTGATTTCGAGTACTCCCAACGCTAACTCCCAGATCCTTATTGACATATTGCTGGGCATCCCCGACTGCCTTGTTCAAATGGCTAATCTGTTCTTTCCTTTTATCTTCCAATGAATTGACACCTACACGAATATTCCACAACGCCTCCTCAAACGTTTTTTTAACGACGAGATAATGTTGTTCAATCTCTCTCTCAAGATATTCTCGTTGATTCACCAACAATCCATCGACTACTTTCACCTGCCACGCTAAGGCATCATTGCTAGCAGCGTCGACATAGGTCCTAACCGATGCTTTAATCGGCTCTACTTTGTGCGTTATTTGTGACTTAAGTGTGCTATCTAACAAATTAACTTTAGTGTCAATAGTTTCTAATTTATGTGAGATGCCTGACACGATAGCGTTCCACTTCGTTAACTGCTCCTCCAGCGTGTCACCTTGATTACGTTGGACGTACTTCCCGAATTCACCTGAAACCATATTAAGATCACTACTTAACTCACCTAATTTAGTCTTCACGTCGCCTGTCTTGTCATTCACCTGCATCCAATATTTTTGTAACCAATCACTTACCTCTTTAACCCGATCACCAAAGACACTGCGTCCCTGGCCAATGGAAGATTGGAGATGTTGAAGGACATTATGTAAATCATAATTATTATCTGTTAATTTAATGTAACTATCATATTTCTTCACACTCTCATCCTCCTTCACTCCACTGAGAACACCATGAAGGAAAGACATCACCCCGTCGCATAGCCTGTCAAGGTCGGAGTACACGATGCCTTCTCCGGTGTAATTACCATTACTAAGGCCGAGAACATTTTCGAGGCCTGTGCAGAGGTTATTTAATAATGTTGTTGAAGGATTATTTTAAGCACATTTTTAGGGCGATTTGGGGGAATTTGGGGAAAGGCGATTTTAGGTCAAGGAGGCAGCGAGGGAGTGAGGGAGGTGGGTGGACAAGGCGACGGAGGTGAAGCGGCGAAAGAGGGCGATGAGGGAGGAAGATGGGTGGAGGTAAGGCGATTTGGGTGGAGGAAAGAAAGAATGGAAAAATAAGAATTGGGCGAAGACGCCGACGGAGAAGGTGATCGAAGGGGTCGGAGGAAGAAGCAAAGCGATAAGTGAAAAAGAGGAGTGGGTGGTTGAAGTGGGTAAGATGGGTGGTTGAGTGGTTAAGTAAAGGTAAATGCAGTGGTGAGTATGTGGTTGAGTGTGTAAGTAAGTGGGTTAAGTGAATGGTTAAATGGGTTAGAGTTGATTGAGTGGGTGAGTGAGTGGTGAATGAAATGTGTGCAGTAGGTGGTAAGTAAAGTGAGTGGTTAGAAGTAAGTGGAGTGGTGAGTGGTGAATGAAATGCAGTAAGTGAGTGATAGTAAGTGATGATGGTGAGTGGGTGGTTGAGTATGGTTGAAGGGTGATTAGGTGAGTGAGTGAGTATGTGAGTGGGTGAGTGGTTGAGTGGTTGAGTGGTTGAGTGGGTGAGTGGGTGAGTGATACACAGATCACACGTGAAGGCACGATTATGGTGAGAAGTACTTGACGTTGGCGAGTGCCTTGACGCGTGCGGCGGCGAGGAGCGACTGCGCGGCGATGCGGTGGCTTGAGGGCGAGCGCAGGTGCGAGCGTATCCTCAGGACGTCGAGGCGGACGACGGTGATGTGCAGCAGGTACAGGAGCGACAGCGACCAGAGGGCTACTAGAGTCCATATGAAAGGTTCACGAATTCTGAATAAGAATTCAGGAATGGTTACAAATGCCAACGTGTGAAGCGCTCTGCCTTCTTGCAGGAGATTTTCTAATGCTTTGCAGAAATTCTTACATGTTCTTTTTGTTACGGTTGTGTCAGCAGGATCACCGAGTTTGGCTGCATTTCCGAAATGAAAGCCATATCTACATAACGTCGGAAGCGTAGATTGGCAGTGAACAATCGACTTGCATTCTTTGTTATGGTTTGATAACGACGCATTTTGTCCTGCCGGGCAACCTTTATTGCAACTATTGTCGTAGCACCTGGAGCCCTTGGTACCGCACGCTTTGTTGCACTCTTCATACAGCGCTTTAAGTAAATCGTAGAATGTTTCTGTTATGTAGGTGATCCACGAGAAGTATCGGTCACCGTGCTTTTTAGTATAAACAGCACTGGCATCGTTGCTTAGAGAACTCATGTATGGGCCGCAGATGACCACCGATTTCGGGGTGCACACGAGACTACCAAGGTCAGCTTTGGCCGGGTTGTGCGAATGCCCTGCTTTACCGAATATGGTAGCAGGATCTAAATCATCATATGCGGTGCCGAAATAGGCCTTCGTGACAGCAGTAACAAATGCGTCCAATCTGTGCTCATTATTACTCCACTCGTGGAGGAAATTGTAGTAGAAACCAAACATGTCACCTAATGCTTTGGGAGCACTGGGAATGAGGCAATTCAATTGACCGCAGATCTCACTTAGGGGAGCATCTGAACTGCCACAGAATTTCTCAAGCACATTATGAATATGCTCACCGTACTTTGTATGCGACGCTGTTGTCGCAATGCCCTGGAAGCCCATGGGAGTTTTACAAGGTATACCAGGAGAGCCACGTGCACAAGTGGAACATGAAAGGCTGGATCCTCTAACTGCTACGTTATGCGGTAGGAACCCAGGAAGTCCGTCTTCCAGGAAAGATTGGAGCGGCGACTTGACACCGCAACTGGTATGTTGGTCAGCCTTTTGGTCATGCGTTTGGTCACATGTTTGATTAGGGCATTGCTTCTCATTGCATTGCCAGCCGGAGCCGCCGACACCCTGACCGTAGTGGCAACCACTCCAACCGCTGAGCTCACGGTTATACTCACACTGTTTAAACATGAAATAAAGCTGGTGGAACACGCGTTTAAGGACATCTAACAGCAAGCATATTAAGGTGTTCATGTTAGTGGGATAAACAAAAGCAGATGAATTGTTCGAGAAGTCAGATGCATAGATGCCATCGGCGTGACCGAAGCCGAGGATTGAAGTGAGCACGGAACGTGATTGGTGACATACGGTGTCAAGCGTTGCCACTAAATTTTTATATGTGATAATGTGAGGATGAGCTTCTAGTTTAAGATCCTTCGGGGGAATCTCATTGTATGCTCTCATGTCACTCTTCCCGTCGGGTTTGTCGAATAGTTCCTTGAGTTGCCTACCAAGCTTGTCGTAGATGGGATTATATGGGAGACCGGAACACCAAATGAGCATTTGGTAGACATTGGAGGGATATTTTGTTGCGGAGGGAACAAAAAGATGGCAAACATTGTTATATTCGCACAGATAAATGTAACATTTGTATAGGACGTTTGCACGTGTGACGGAGTTTTTCACCGCCCAAAGATAGTCGGAGAATGTTGCATATTTATTTGGGTCGTTGGTGAACTCATCATGCTTATAGAAGCCTTTGCCCAGATTGAAGGCAACAGCCTTACCAGTGTTTTCCTTGGTGATGAGATTATTAATTTCGAAGCCTTCATCAGTCAAATATTTTTTCAAGGCATATCTATGTTTTACATTACCACTCCCATCAATCGTATGGGATTTCCATTTACTACCGCCATTATAGAACAAGTGATGCAACTTATCGAAAAGGGTGTACATACAAGTGAGGAACACCTTGGCACATCTGTTGGCGTCATCGGTCGGAATCTTATTCTCAGGGGCATCTTTAGTTGCAGGCTTTTTACTGGTGTCGGCTTGCTCCCACTCTATCGTCCGGCCGTCGTACCTGGAGATGTACACGTCGCCAAGCACATCCACCAACTGCCGACAGCCGCCAGAGATGCCGCCCAGCATTCCTGTGACCGGGTTGGGGAAGCCGTCTAGTTTCAGGTCGGCGACTGTGGCAGTGAGGTCATTAAGCTTAGTGGGTAAGTTGTGATCGTAGTGATTTTTAGTGCTTATGTCGCCGAGTAATGTCATGAGTGCTGTGCTAACAGCGTCCAGCTTGGTGGAATAGGGATCTTGGGACTGGGGGAGTGAAGGATTTTTCTTGATATTTTCTTCGTTCTCCCTCTTAATGTCTTTTAGGACATAGTCCTTCAGTGGCCCGAAAAATTTGGCGACGGCGAAGGATAAGTGTACTAATTTCGGATCCTCTTTTTGAGGAACGATGTGAGTGTCGAAGTGTTCGGAGAATTTCTCCATGAAGCCTTTCAGGCCGATGTGCTTGTCGTTGTCAATCTCAGTGGGCAACTCACTGAGCTCCTCCGTCACCTTTGTGGCGAACTGCTGGAGCGCGAACTTGAGGGCCTCGACGTACTGCCTGCGCGCGTGGGTGGTGAGTTGGTCGGTGGCTTGTTTGACTTGATTCTCAACTTCATGTTTGAGCATACGTATGGTCTGCGCCTCAGCTTGAATGATGTATTTCAATAGGGCTTTAGTCTTATTTATTGGCTCGTTCACAAGACTGTCTTGCAGACTGCCGAGTTGATTTTTAATTGCCTCCAGTTTGACTTTAATGTTCGTATCTTTCAGCGTCTGTAAATTGAATTCAACGCCACTGCACGCGTTGGAAATCTCATTGCACAGCAGGACGAGATTATTGGAGACTGATGGCAGATCTGTATGCAGACGTTTAAGGTTATCCTGAATTGTTTGAAGACCGTTTGCCATTCCGAGAGATTGCGTACTGAGGCCCGTTGTCAGCGCACTTAACTTGTCCTTTATACCGTCAGTGTCACCAGCAGGCACGGTAACCGGCGTTCCCTTGCCATTCTCGACCAGGCCGGCGATCGCTGTGAGTTGGGTCTGGATGGCGGTGAAGGGTGTTTGGAAGGTTTGATTGCTATCGATTATTTGTGCATTTGTATTCCCAGTACCGTTAAGCGTGTTTGTTACGTTTGATTTTATAAGCTCGATTGCATTCTCTAAATTCGGTTTGGCCCCCCTTTTGGTGGCACCGGCGCTCATTTCATAATTCGAAAGGTGCTCCAGTGTGACGTGCGGTAGATAACGCGTTCTACCATCATTTTGAACATCAGGTAATTTCACATTTAATTCCTCAGTGAGATCTTTGTGAAAAGCGGTGATGAGAGTTTCGGCCTTGGTTGCTCTTGTGATGCCGGTAAAAGCTTTTATCGCATTAAGCATTCTTTCTACGTCAGCTCCCCTCGTAGTCTTGATACTGCCAAGCCAAACTTTGAGCTGACTACCTGCATCCAACAATTCATCGAGTTTCTTGAACCCCCGGCCGCCATCGGCATTAACATTCCAACCATTCTCAGCTGTCAAAGCCGCCTTGATAACGCTGCCAGCTATATTGCTAACAAAAGAATGTATTTCCCCATCTATTGCCTTCTTGATACTAAACAAGTCTCCCCTGACTATTTCATCCAACTCCTTCACCTTACTCGTCGCCCCTTTAACCCAATCCCCAATCTCCCTCTTAACCTTCTCCGCCGCCGCCCTGAGCTTCTCAGCCTTTGTTTGCATTTCTTTAGCGTGCTTGTGAATCAAACCTGTAGAGTCATCTGTAATACTCACTTTCCCCGCAATTTCATCACACTTCCCCTGCGCCGCTCCCACAACCTTACCCGCTTCCTGATTCCACTTTCCCAACTCCTCTATATTGCCGCCGAGCTGTGCATGAATGCTTTCAGCCACCTGTGTCATCTGATGAGGATATTTTGACGGTGCATCAGCGTTGATCTCTTCCAATATTTTTTTGACTTGCGCCTCCGCCAGTTTGATAACATCTTCCGCCTCAGTCATCCACCAACCCAAATTGCTGACATACCTTCTGAGATCATTATTAATTTTGTTAAGTTCTTCCAATATTTCATCAACTTGCTCCCTCAATTTTTTGATAAGCTCCCCCACCTGCGCATCAATTTTCTTATCTACATTACATCTAAGCTCACTCAACACCCTCTTAATCTCCGCTTCTGCCAACTTAAACCGTTTACTTTCCTGTTCCTTCACCACCCCCAACCTAACGCTCTCATACTGCACCGTCGCACGCACGCTCTCAAGCTTATCTTTCAATTTAGCATTTAGGTCGTTGATTGCGTTGTTAAGTGGATTAGTGTCTACAGTGATGTTAAGTGCGGTAGTGAATTTTTTAGCGTGCTCTTGACATTCTTGCAGCTTGGCATTAATGGACTTCTCAGCGTGCTCCACTTTCTTGGCAGTGTCCAACGCTCTTTCTGAAAATTCTGTATTAAGAATGTTTTCAGAATATTTTTGCACATCACCACGCAATGTTGTAATAACACTTTTCACAGTATCATTCGACTTACTAACACTCACATTATATTCATGTACACCACTGGCCACCTCGGCTATCGCCGCTCTGTATTTAGTAATACCATTAAGATTTGTGCTTTCAAGTGTGCTAAGTGCGCTAGTTAAAGTGTCTTTATGCTGGCCTAATTTAGGCTTAATGTTATCTAAAACTCCATGAAGGAAAGACATCACCCCGTCGCAGAGCCTGTCAAGGTCGGAGTACACGATGCCTTCTCCGGTGTAATTACCATTACTAAGGCCGAGAACATTTTCGAGGCCTGTGCAGAGGTTATTTAATAATGTTGTTGAAGGATTATTTTAAGCACATTTTTAGGGCGATTTGGGGGAAGTAAATTAAAGAAAGCAATTAAATCAAGAAACAACGAAAAGTAAGAGGTGGGTGGAATAAACAACGGAGTAAAGCAGCAAAAAAAACAATGAAGAAAAAGATAAATTAAATAAAACGATTAGGAAATGCGAAGAAAATGCAATAAAGGAAGCTAAACAAAACCTCAACAGATGAAAAGATGTAGAAAGGGTAATGAAAAGACAAAACAGCCAATAAAGAGGGAGTAAATTAAGAAATGAGTAAATGAAGTAGAATTAAATGGAATTAAATGAGTAAAAACAAGTAGTAAATATAGACGAATGTATAAGTAAGTATAGATTAGAGTGCGAAATGAATTGTCATTGATGGCTGAATGAGAAGTAAGTAAATGCAGTAAGTAAATGTAATAATTAAATGCGTGAAATGGAAGTAAGAAATAAAGTAAAATTGAGTAATGAAGTAAGATGAGTGCAGTAGGTAAGTGTAAATGCAGAAATGGTGATAGTAAGTTGAATGCAGTAGGTTGAGTGGTGATCATTGAGTGAGTGAGTATGTGAGTGGGTGAGTGGTTGAGTGGTTGAGTGGTTGAGTGGGTGAGTGGGTGAGTGATACACAGATCACACGTGAAGGCACGATTATGGTGAGAAGTACTTTACGTTGGCGAGTGCCCTGACGCGTGCGGTGGCGAGGAGGGACTGTGCGGCGATGCGGTGGCTTGAGGGCGATCGCAGGTGGGAGCGAATCCTCAGGACGTCGAGGCGGACGACGGCGATGTGCAGCAGGTACAGGAGCGACAGCGACCAGAGGGCTAACAGAGTACACATAAATGGCCATCTGATAATGCATAAGAAATTGTCACACTCTGTGAACAGCTTATCAAAATAATCAGAATGTAACACCTTATGTAACTGACTGCAGAAATCCTTACACTTTTTCGGCGTCTTACCGTTCAACGTCGACGCCTCGCCGAAGCTGAATCCATACTGGTAGAGCGTCGGTGCCACGCCTCTGCAGGATACTATGGAAGAACACTGACAGACGTCATCTGGTTTCTTCTCATCCTCAACGACACCATGCTTGCCACTCTTGCACTTGTCTCCTCTGAGACATCCTCTGCATCCCCAATCTGCACAAGTGATTTGGCAAAAGGCATTATATAAATTGTTGAGTAAATCCCAGAACGTCCATGGGAGGTAGATGGCCCACGACAAATATGTGCTAGCGTGCTTCAGTGCCAGGTAATAATTGGAGTCGCAGGATAACGATGAAAGGTAGGGGGCGCACAATCTATTTTTAATAGGGTCACTACACGACGATGTCATAGAAAGACTTGATAAATCGTCATATAGAGGACGATGACTATTATCAGCATAATTGTAATGCCTACTACGGTATGCGTCACGAAGCGCACCGGTGAGCTCACCTGCTTTCTTATACAGATCAATAGATTGGCCTTTTATAGATTTCTCAAACGCTTTCTCGATAGTATTCTTACCGTCATTCCAATCTCTCACTAGTGACAACACAAATCCGAAGTGCTCTGGGAGCGAAGCCGGCGTTTTCGGTTTAAGGCAGAAGAGTGAGGGAATATGTTCATCGGCGAACATGCTGTCAAGAAGCTCCCATAGAGCTGAACCCATTTTTGTGGTGCCCGAAAAGGCCTTAAAGCCTAACGGCGTGAGACAGGGCATGCCCTTCATGGATGTGGAAGGACACGTATTACATGTAGCTCTACAACCGATGGAACTAAGGTGATGTGGCAAATGTCCTGGGAGGCAGTCGTTTAGGTAGCTTTGTAGAGGGGATTTTGGTTGGCAATTTGGTTCGCACGTTGCTTGGCACATTGGTTGACCTTTTGGTTTGCTGTTTGCTTTGTCTGCAAAATGCTCTTTGCACGGCCAGTTGACCGATGAGATATCTCTGCCGTAGTAGCACTGGCCCCAACCGTGGAGCTCAGTGCCTAGGCCACACACGCTATGCAAGAATCTAAGCGGAGGGAACAATCTGCGTAATATATCTAACAACATTTCAAGACAACCCTCTCCATTTTGCGGGTAGTGCAAGTGCAGTGAGTTGCTGTAGTAGTCGCAGCCGTAAGTGCTGTATTCGTCACCGGTGCCGGCGACGGCTGCCAGGAACTCGTAGGCGAAAGAGCACAGGTCATCGATCGCCGTGGACATATCATTATAAGTGACACTTTTTGGATAGGCATTCATGTATGAAGACTGGTAGTCAAACGTTGCAATGCCAGCGATGCTGCCAGTTTTCTTATCTGAGTCGTCAAGCAGGGCGTTGACACCGTCGTGCAGCAACGATGGAAAAACGGGATTATACCACAAGCCGGCCAGCCAATTACACATCTCAAACACGGAACACGGATGCTTCTTAGAGGTTAATGTGGCTAAGTGACCGACTTCGAAAAGCTTATCGAAGTGATGGTGAACGCATTTAAGGATGTCCAAGACATTGAAGTCTTTTCGCTTCTTGTTTGGTCTACAAGTTGCAAGGTGCAAATTTCTGTTGGCTTCTGAGATTGTATCGTTGAGTTTGTCGTAGATCTTCTCACCCTTGTACCCGGTGGACGGGAATTTCAATTCGCCGTCATGGGAATCTTCTTTTATGGTAACTTCATAACCGCAGTTCTTCAGGAAATGTCCCAAGTTGTTGTGCTCATTACGTCCGGAAATCAGGCAAATTTTGTTTTGCTTCCAACCATGTTCACAGTCTTCCTTCAACTTGGACAAATGGTCATATACAGAGGGCAAGATTGTGACACATACTTTGGCGGCCTTGCGGCCTTCGTCATTCAATTCATTATTGTCGTCAGTTTGTTTGGGTGCTTTAACTGGTATTGTATCGGAATTTTCTTTAGGTTTCACTAATTGTCCAGCGAACTGTACTCCGCTGTACCTGCTGACGTACTGCTTGCGTAGCTCCTCGTGGAGGTCCGTGACGCCGCGCTTTATGACGTTGAGCAGGGCGAGGCGTCGGCGAATTTTGTCGGAGTGAAGTTGTCGAGTGCTTTTTTGAGCGCGTCGATTTTGTCGGAGACGTCGCGGTGGAAGTGTTGTTTGTCAAACATTTCTTCAAGTAGAGTCTCGAGAGCTGACGTGATGGGAGTGAGTTTGTCAGTGTAAGGGGAGACGTCGGACTGGTCTGACAACTCGTTGAAAAAGTTGGTAAAGAAATTGTTCACCTTGCTGGAATATGCTCTCAGATCTGTACCGGAATGGTGAAGTAGTGCAGCAAAACGTCCCAACCTGCTCATCAGGCCTTTTCGGCCTGTCTTAGCATCTTGATCAATGATACCTTGGATTATCGGAATTTGCACTTCAAGACATTTTTGCACATTTTTGAGCTCAGCTTTCTTTTGAGCGTCGTACATCTGTTGGACGTTATTCTCCAACTCATTAAAAGCGTTTCGAACCTTCGCCTGCAGGTCACTTTTGAGCATCTTCAGAACAAGGCCCGCGGTGTTTTTCGCGCTTTTTAAGGACCCTTCGAGTTGCAAAATGGCAGTGTCGAAGGCTGCATTTGCAGAGGTGATGGGAGTTTCGATGTCTTTGATTTTCTGCAAAATATCCTGGATTGTGGTTTTCAGCTGCTGCATAACCACTTCAGCGTTCTTCCGCTTGCTATCAACTGTACGTGGAAGAGTTTTGAGTTCGTTGAGTTCTTCCTGAATTTTTTGAACGGCACTTGTGAGCCTGCTTTTGGCGCCGTCGAACAGTGTCATGTTTTTAACCACGTCAATCTGAGTTCCATCAGCGGTCATCTGAAAATTTGCAACGGCTTCGTCAATGGCCTTATTTATTGCTTCCCTGATCTGCTCTTGAGCTTCAGTGTTGAACTCTTGAACGGCAGGATCAAGGCCATGTTTGACGTGGGTCCTGAATCTTCCCTCAAGTACCTCAACGTTATGTCTCACTTGATAAATAGCTGAGTCAACTGCATGGGCATCCGCCTTGCCAAGTTTAGCAACGAGGATTGGAGAAGTGGTGAGAGCCTGTTTCAGGTTGCTGATGTTCGGTTCCTCTATTAGCGTTTGAATATCTTTAGAGGCGGCGGAGGCTTTGGCACAGATGGATCCGAATATGGCTTTGATGGCGGATATCAGATGTTGGTTATTCGTATTTTTGCCGGATGTCGCTTTAGTCTCAATTACACCAGCCACTTCAGTTCCCTTAACTTCCTGATCAATCTTGGACGGACCTTGATCAAGAAAACTTTTAACGCTACGCAATGTAGCTTCTACGTCATCTGCGCTGAGGTTTGCCTTTACGCCAAAGCCTTTTACAATTTGAATAATCCTCTGCTTGCCTGCTTCTATAGCCTGCGTTATATTTTTCCAATCCCATTGGCCGCCTGTTCCAATAACGTCGATGTATATGGTCCTAGCTAACTCCATAGTATTTACGAATTCGTTAACCCATAAATTTACAGTCTTATCGTAATTTGTGATGTAATTGTCGACATATTGATGATACTTATTTACAACATGATTTGAACCACCATTAAGTGCATTCCTACTCTCCTTAACAATTTCCTCTTTAACCTTATTTAAAAAGTCATTCACAGTTTCTTTGCCATTCTCACCAACGGCTTTGCAAAGTTTTTTAATCTCCTTGCCGATCTTTCTGACTTCCGTTTCAAGCTTATTCTTGATATTATCCTCAAACAATTTTTCAAGGTTACCTTCCGCATTTTTATCTGAACCAGTCACCTTCTCAAGTTTCTCCTTCGCCACCTGAAGTTGTGCCAATGCATCCTTTGCAACAGTAGCAGTGTCAAGTCCATTTATTGCGTCCTTCAACTCCTGCAACCCATGCCGCACCTTATCTTCCAGGCCTTTGACTTCACTGTCCAACGTGTCGAAAGAATCTATAAGCGTCGATGACTCTCCCTTCTTTCCAGTGAACTTCTCAACTGCTTCTTTTATTTCATTGAACCGCTTCAAAATGTTTTCCGTATAATCCTTATGAAATTGCGTTCCATCCTCACCAAGCAACTTCTGCGCCGAATCCTTAGCCAACTGCACCGCCGCCTTAATGGACTCAATTTTTTCTCTCTTCGTGTTTCTAAGGTCCTTAATTCTGCTTTCGATATTAGCGAAATCCGCATTCAAAGCTCTCTCTACTCCATCAATTCCTGTGCCAATACATTCATCTACTTCTCTACGATGCTTAATAAAATTCTTGTTCAGTTCCTCTACGCAGCTTGTAACATTCTCATCCTTGACCGTTGCCTCGAAGTTGTCAACAGCCGTTTTAATTAACTCTATTTTCGACACTATTTTCTTGTTAAGATTGTCATCAATCTCATTTAACGCCAACTCTGAATCCAATACCTTTCCAACGTAGTCACCCGAAAAGCCTTGCCAATTGTCCAACTGATCTACAATTGTCTCATCTTCCATGTAAGCATTAACATGCCCACTTAACGTTTCCTTAAGCTCTTCCAACGGCCTCATCACCTCTCTATTTCTTTCATCCACCCCCCTCACCCACTGCTTAATCCCCTTGCCAACTTCGACAATACTACTATCAAAATTTTTTCTATTATAGAGAGCTTCAGTAATTTTTTGAAGTGGCACAGTTAAAGGAGTATTATATTTTTGAAGATTATCATTTGTATGAACTTCATTTAAAACTCCATGCAAGAACGCCATCACCCCGTCGCAGAGCCTGTCAAGGTCGGAGTACACAATTCCTTCTCCGGTGTAATTACCATCCTGGTAGCCGAGAAACTTTTCTAAACCTCCACAGAGGTTATTTAAAAGGTTTTTAGTGTTATCAGATTTTTGATCAATTTTCTCAGCATATTCACAAAGCCCTTTCAGTGTCTCAAGAGACTTCTTGGAAGCATTATGAGACTGAAGATCCTTATTAAGCTTGTCAATTTCAGAGGCATTTTTACTTTTATTATCATCATTATTAAGCCTTTTAAGCTCTTCAATTCTTTGATTAAGCTCCTGAATTTTTTGGTTAATTGGCTCTTGAAGCTTATTGAAGGGATCATCATGGACATTTAAATTGCACGCAGAAAGGATGTCAACAAGTTTTTTAGAGGTTTTTGTTTCATCTTTAAGGTGTTTTTTAAGTTTATCATTGACATCATTAAGGTTTTTAATTGCCTCAACATTCTTACAACACCCCTCCCCTCCGCAAGATGTTTCCAAAAGCTTACTAAGCTCATTTACATTACTCTGCAAACCATATAAAATTGCATCTTTAACTTCCTGTCCACTGCCAATAAAACCCGAAAGCTGTCCAGCAAGCTGACCAAGGGAGATACGGCGGGACTCAATATCATCCAAGGCTCTTTGTCTGGCATCCTGAGTGAGGTAATGAACTTCATTGTAATGGTTATTGTAGTTGGATTAAAGGTGGATTAAGGGAGGGTTAAAAGAAGTAAAGAAGGAAGAAATGGCACATTTTCAGGGCGATTGGGAGGAATTTGGGGAAAGGCGATTTTAGGTCAAGGAGGCAGTGAGGCAGCGAGGGAGGTGGGTGGACAAGGCGAGGGAAGTGAAGGGGCGAAAGAGGGGGATGAAGGGGGAAGATGGGTGGAGGGAGGGGATTTCGGAGGAGGAGGGAAAAGGCGGAAAATGAGGATTTGGGCGAAGGACGCCGACGGAGGAGGTGATGGAGGGGGGTGAAGGGAGGGAGCGAAGCGACCAGTGAAAGGGAGGTGAGTGAGTGAGTGATTAGGTGAGTGATTACGTGGGTGATTAGGTGGGTGGGTGGGTGAGTGGTTGAGTGGTTGAGTGGGTAGGTGAGTGAGTGGGTGGGTGGTTGAGTGGTTGAGTGGTTGAGTGGGTAGGTGAGTGAAGGCACGATTATGGTGAGAAGTACTTGACGTTGGCGAGTGCCCTGACGCGTGCGGCGGCGAGGAGCGACTGCGCGGCGATGCGGTGGCTTGCGGGCGAGCGCAGATGGGAGCGTATCCTCAGGACGTCGAGGCGGACGACGGCGATGTGCAGCAGGTACAGGAGCGAGAGCGACCAGAGGGCTAGTAATGTCCATATGAAATTCTTCCTGACACAGAACAGAAAGTCATCACATTTCTGAAATAAATCTCCGAAGTGTGTCGACGCGATGACTTTTTTCAATTGTTGAACAAAATTATGGCACTTCTTACGAGTATTAAATGCGTATAATGCGGATGCATCGGCAAATGTAAAACCATACTTATACAGTGTTGGTGAGACACCTCTACAGGTAACAATACATTTGCAGTCACAAGGATCATCTAAATCGCCATGGCGCCCTGGTCTACAGCTAGAGCCATGCATACATCTGCTGCAGCCCCAATCTTGGCAGATGATTTGTTGGAATTCGTCAAGAAGCAATTTGAGGTAATTGTATAAGGTCCATGGTAAGTAAATGCACCATGAAAGGTAAACGTCAGTGTGATTTCTGGCAAGGTAATGATACGCTTCCGAGCATAGGGATTGAAGATAAGGCGCACAGTGATTTTTCTCGGAACATGATGTTTGCATAGATAGACTTGATAAGTCAGCGCATTTGGGGTCAGTATGCTTTTCAGCATCATGACGGTTTCGTCTGTCACCGTAGGCATGACAAAGTGCATCAGTCAATTCGCTAGGATCCATGCATAACCCAATGGACACTTTTGCGATGGAGGATTTAAAAGCTGTTTGGACAACATTCTCCCTTGCGTTCGTATTAGCGAGCCATCTACTAGCAAATGCTAAAGCGAAAGCAAAGTGTTCCGATAACGTAGTCGGAGGTCTGGGTACAAGGGAAAGAAGGGATGAAACGTAGACATCGCCGAAGAATTTTGCGAGGATCTCGCACAGTTGTGAACCTGTTTTTGTAGAACCAGAAAAGGCTCTAAACCCTAATGGCGTGAGACAGGGCATGCCTTTCTTGCCATTCGGACACGTTGAACATACGGACCTACAGCCAATGGATGATAGGTCATGAGGTAGATGGCCGGGAAGACAGTCGTTAAGGTAACTCATTAGTGGAGACGTTGGTCGGCAGTTTGGTTGGCAATTTGGTTGACCATTTGCCTTGCAGTTTGATTGGCAATTAGCTTTGTCCGTTGAGTGGTCGTTACATTGGGATTTGCTTGTGGCGACAGTCTTGCCGTAATGACATTGATGCCACCCGTGATATTTGGCATCTAGATCACACCGTTTGCACAGGAATGTGAACACTGGGAGTAGTCTACGGAGAATGTCGAGAAGCAAATCAAAGCACCCTGAAGGATCGGGCGGATAATAGAGATTAAAGGAGTTATCACAATATTGGCAAGCGTAATACGTCGCAGCGTCGCCGTGACCAACTATACCAGTCAAGAGGTCATACGACGTTGAACATATATGATTAACTGCTGCCAGCACGTGATTATATCTAATGTTGTATGGATGCGCTTCCAGGGTTACGGCGGTTATATCGGTTGCTGTGTCATCTGTGCCCTGCTTATTTGGGTCGTCAAACAGGTCACTGATAGTTATGCTTAGCATTTTGGAATGGACAGAGGTATACTGCAGACCAGCGCACCATACAAGCATCTGGAATACATTGCAGGGACGACGTGGTATAGGTCGGAGAGTGGAATGGCACACTTCGTTATACTGCTCTAAGTGTCTGAGAAGGCAATTGAGGATGTCCATTACATTAAATTGTGTTTTTGCTTCAAGTGGTTTATTTAATTCCTGTGTCCTATTTTCGTCGTCCTTACACGATTTAAGATGCTCATGGTTCTCGGTGCCGGCGATCGGCTTAGCAAGCTCAGAAATGATATGCTGGCCTTGCATATTTGGAGAATTCCGCAGCTCACCGTTTTGTCCATTTCTATCGTTGGACACATTGTACCCGTATCTGTTTAAGCAAATGCCGAGTTCGGTGATGGAATTAATCTGTTTCGAGAACCAATATGAATTGCACTGGTCTGTCAACTGAGTGAGCTCATGCAACAGTGTGTTAATCGTAGTCAACAATATTCTAGCATAGTTCTTATTATAGTAATGATCCCACCGTTCATCATCGTACACGCTCACGTACGCCTTATCTAGCTCCCCGTGCATATCTGCGACACCATCCCTAAGGAACTGCAGCAACGGGTTGTTCTGGTTGGCGTACGATTGTGGATGCATTTCAGTGAGTAACGTATTAAGTGCGGATAAGTCATTAACGAATTTTGTGTTGTATTTGGTGAGGCTAGTGAAAAGAGTGTCTAGTTTGCTTCGCAGCTTCGAGAGGTTATTAGAGTCCATGATTTGAGGCCGCATGTTCAGCGTCTTGAGCAGCTCAGTGAAGAATATTTTTGCCCTGCTGGACAGTGTCTCTAATTTTGCGTCGCCATCCAATTCGCTGTTCAATTTACTGTCCGTCAATTTCTGCTCGAGCACTCCCATGGAGCCTTTAAAGCCCTTGTCGGCATCTTTTGTTATGTCTTTTGGGAGCGTTCCGATTTCCTTTTCTACTTTCTCGGCGAACTTTGTGAGCATGGTCTTGATGAATTTGACGTAGCGGGATTTCAGGTCGTTGGTGATTGCGGATTTAGCTCCACCAATTGTCGTGGTGACGAAGGATTCAAGTTTTTGGATTGTGACTTTACGTTCCCTTTCGGCTTCAACAGCAAAGTTTTCGGCGTCGTTTATTGCCTTCCTCAGATTATCTTCTCTAAGCTGATTGAGGTTATCACGAACTTTTTGGAAGCTTGTGTCATTTTTTAGAGTGATGCCGATTTTTCTTCTCAGCTCAGTTATTTTCTTTTTAGCGCTGTCGTCGCCGGTTTCCGCGGCCTTTAGAATAGCTTGGCAAAGTTCCTTAAGGCTGTTTTCTACTACGCTGGCTCTCTGTATAATGATCGATTCAGTTGATTTTGCGGCGTCGATAACGGTTTGCTCTAACTTATTAATGTCGTCAAGTTTACTAACGAATACATCAACGTCTTTCTCCACCCTCTCCATTGCTTTCTTGGCTGTGGCTTGGAGGACTGCGAAGATTTTGCTGTCTACGTGCCCTCCGGTGGCCTTTCCTTCGAACGCCGTTTGAAGTTCTTTAAGAAGCTCTTCCGATGTTGGAAGATCTTGGCCTTTTGAAGTTGGTAACTTAGTATTGACCTTATGAAGCCATATCAAAACACTATGTATATCACCTGCAATTCCATTTGAGCTAGGCAGCTCACCCTTTTGCAGTAACTGGACGAATTGCGGAAGCTGCTGTCCTAACTTCATGAACGTACCACTAGTAAGACCCTTTTTCAACGCTACAAAACATCTGTTACTGGACAAACTACTAACAGCAGCAGCAGACAACCCCGCCTTCACGGCATTCCACAACGTCTCAACATACTCCTTAACGTTCTGCTCAACTTGTTGCGTGACTGCCACGATCTGCTCTTTCAATTCCCATACGCCCCTCGTACCCTTGAAATCTTCCAGAGTATTCTTTTCCAAAGCATTCTTTTGTACCTCAAAAGCATTTCTAATATTTCCCATCACACCACCCTCATCGCCTTGTCCGCTTCCATCCGCTCCCTTCAATTTCGTAAACATATCATTATACTTTTCCTTCACCTCGTCAAACTGCTCGTGCAGCGTCATGGCGTGTCCCTTAATTTCTGCGGCCGCCTGTTTAAGCGCTATCTTATGTTTACCATCCTTATGAACCTCCTCCAATATTTTTTCCACCTTCTGTTCCACTGCCCTAACAATTTCTTCAGCTTCCTTCATTCGAGTTTCTAAGTCGGTGACGTACTGCTTCAGCCACCTGTCAATTTCTTCCAACTTACTTTTAATCTGGATAACCAATTTCTTCAACTTCTCAACAAGCGCAGTAACCTGTTGACTGATCTGCGAATTAATCTGCTCTCTAGCATCATTAAGCTTATTTTTAACGTTCTCAGTCACAGCTGTCAGATCCTCTTTCTGCTGCTTGTGAATTTCACTAAGCCTCGTAACGTCATGTAAAATGTTATCTTTTACGTTATTAACTCTTAATTCCAAGTCGTCATTTAAATCCTTAATGTCTTCTTTAGCGTTTGCAATGCCTTTGAAAAACGTCTTGGCTTCCTTTTTACATGCTTCCAGCTTTTCGTCCACTACGGTCACAGCTTCCACAATCTTCTCTGTACTATGGACAAGCGGCTTACCATAATCATTCTTTGCTGGTAAAATATCTTTTAATGAAACTTTTGTATACTTTTCCATGTTCGTATTCATCTCATAAATAACGCTGTTAATTTTCTCGTTACTCTCCTTCACACCCTCATTATACCTGTTCACCCCCTGGACCACTGCTTTAATCGCAGTATTAAAACCTTCTTTACCAGAGTGTTTATTGGCGTTAAGAGACTCTAATGCATCATTAATACGATGACTATGCTGGCCTAATTTAGGCTGAATGTTGCTGAGAACACCACGAAGGAAAGACATCACCCCGTCGCACAGCCTGTCAAGGTCGGAGTACACGATGCCCTCGCCGGTGTAATTACCATTATCGTAGCCGAGAAATTTTTCGAGGCCTGTGCAGAGGTTATTTAATAATGCTGTTGAAGGATTATTTTAGGCACATTTTAAGGGTGATTTGGGGGAATTTGGGGAAAGGCGATTTTAGGTCAAGGAGGCAGTGACGGGGTGAGGGAGGTGGGCGGACAGGGTGAGGGAAAAGAAGGGGCGAAAGAGGGCGATGAAGGAGGAAGATGGGTTGAGGAGAGGCGGTTTTAGGGGTGGAGGGAAAGGTGGAAAAGAAAATGATGATCTATGAAGTGAAGGACGCGTGGATGAAGCGATGAAGGATTATGAGTGGCGACCAGCCTAACCGCTAATATGAGTCGAGCAGGCGATGATTGGTCGAGCGGAGCGATCAGGGGAAAGTGAGCGCGAGCGCGATGCGCAAGTGAGCGTGATGAGCGGCGGGCGATGATGAGCGGCGCCATCGATGAGCGCTGAGTGGCAATTACGGTCGATACCTGATGGGTCGATGGGGGCGAGCCATGGGCATGGGCGGTCGATGGCCGATGGCCGATGAGTGGGCGCGCAAGTTTATTTATTATGGGCTGCGATGCATCGAGCTGTGCATGATGCGATTTGATGGGCCGGAGTGCTTATTGCGTCGATGGGGGAGGAGCGATGGGCGTATGAGTAACGATGCTTATTGTATTTATTGGTTATGAGCGGTTGATTGGTTTAGTCGATGGTCGATGAGTCGGATTGGCCGGATGGCAGTGCTTTGATGCCAAGGGCGAGCGGTGAGCGGTGGCAAGGTGCGATGGCGATGACTGGAGCGGCGAGTGGCGGTGATGGCGATGGGTCGGTGATGGGGCGAGCGGGTCGATGAGCGATGCGAGCGAGGGTTGAGTGGGCAGGATGTGGAGGTGAAAAAGGAGTGGGTGAGTGGCGAGGGTGGAGGGCGTGAGTGAGAAGGTGAGTGGGTTGGTGGGTGGGTGAGTGGGTGGTTGAGTGGTTGAGTGAGTGAGTGAGTGAGTGAGTGGGTGAGTGATACACAGATCACACGTGAAGGCACGATTATGGTGAGAAGTACTTGACGTTGGCGAGTGCCTTGACGCGTGCGGCGGCGAGGAGGGACTGCGCGGCGATGCGGTGGCTTGAGGGCGATCTCAGGTGGGAGCGTATCCTCAGGACGTCGAGGCGGACGACGGCGATGTGCAGCAGGTACAGGAGCGACAGCGACCAGAGGGCTAATAAGGTAATCATAAATTGTTTTCTTATTGCTAGAAGGAAATTATCTATAATTTCGAATAGGTCTGCTAGCTTGCTTCCTTTTCCGACCACTGCGGTTAATTGGTCAACAAAATCTTTACATGATCTTCTAACGTAACATTTCTTATCGATGCGTCCGTTAAGGTAATCTCTGTTTCCATAGGTGAGGCCGCACGTGTATAATGCTGGAAACGTCATACGGCAATTGAGCATGGAATTGCAGAGCGGAGTATGCATTTGATCTGCTTTACCTCCGATTTGCGTGTTGAATGCGATGCAGTAATTTTTGTCACATCCTCCAATGCGGCACTTTGAATGCTTCGATGCACAATTGCGTTCACATTCCTTTAACAACATGTAGAGGAACTTATAAAACGTTTCTGTCAGATAGACAATCCAGGAGAGATATAGGCGAGCATTTTTGGATGCGAAGATACTGCAAATGTCCGCTGTTAACGGTCTTATATACGCTCCACATTTTGTATCGCTGGTATGGCAATTTGCGTCTGTGCTGACTACAGTTGATAGATCACCGGATTGGTGACTGGAAGAGTGATTCGAAGATTCAAACAATTTATAGCAGTTGTCCATGTCATTATATTCGACGCCGAAGTGCGCCTTTGTGACGGCCTTACGAAGCGCCGTTTTCCTGTGGGCATCGGATTTACTCCAATTATTGAATAAACCATAGAAAAACGCGAACATACCACCTAGCGTTACCGGCGGACTAGGCATCAGACAATTGAATCGCGCACATAGCTTTGTGAGGGGAGAGTCTATATTGCCACAAAATGTATGCAGCACGTTTTTAATATGCTCACCAGTCTGTCTGTGGGACGCTGTAACAGCGATTTCCGGATAACCCATTGGCGTTTGACATGGCATACCATATGACGTCTTAGTGCACGTGAGACATGTAATACCTCTGCCGGATGTTAGAACGTGTGGCAAAAAGCCTACCAAGCCGTCCTCTAAGAAGGATTGTAACGGTGATTTCAAGCCGCACTTAGGGTGTTGGTTACACGTTTGCTCAGCTGTTTGGTTGGCCTTTTGGTTATGCATTTGGTCACCTATTTGGTCAGCGTTTTGGTTAGGACATTGCAGAGTATTGCACTGCCATGCTGTACCACCAATATCGTGACCATACCAGCAGTCCGACCAACCACTCATCGTGGTATTGAAGGTACATTGTTGATACAAGAAGTGAAGCTGTTGGTAAATGCGTTTGGCAATATCAAGTAAGAGGCAAAGTAATGTGTCCATATTACTGGGATACGATAAATTCTCTGCGTTTGTATAAAAGTCGCACGCATATATGCCTTCGGCATGGCCGTGGCCTTGGATTGCAACAAGTACGTCATGAGATTTCGAACACACACGGTCAAGTGAATCAATTACGTTCTTAGCGGAGAAGCCTGATGGATACGCATGGAGCACGTAATCGGATGGCTTCGGGACGTCTACATTCTCGGGTTTTGAGAACAGCTTTAATATGTGATCTGTAAGATGTTTGTGAACACGGTTATGTGGGAGACCACAGAACCATGTGAGCATCTGATAGATGTTACAAGGTGATTTGTTGGACGTGAAAGTGGCCTGATGGCCGACTTGGTAGTAGGCAGGAAGACAGTTGACAATCACGTTAAATGCATGTTCAGTGTCTTTTGAAGAGGGGAAAACATGAGGGTAAGTACCGACAAGGCGTTTGTAAACATGCTGACCCTTCATAGTATCTTTGTCTTGCAGCTCCCAGTGCTTTTTGTCATCCTGGGATATTTCGTAACCTAGACTGCGGAAGAATTTTCCAAGGTCAGTGGATTTGTGAATTTGATGCTCACTCCAACCGACATTACTGTATCTCCTTAACTTATTCAAATAAGTGTTAAGTGTGGGAAGCACAGTAAGACAGACTTTCGCGCACTTTTCACCATACGTGTTCAAATCGCATTTTACCACTGCGTCATTGTCGGGAGTAAGCACGAATTTACCGTCGAACAAATCACTGGTAAACTTCTGACTGTCGTAAGTCGAGATATATGCTTTCCTTAACTCACCCGTAAATTTGCCCAGTCCTGCAGTGACGCCGTCCAGTGTGGGACTATTCGGCAGGGAGAAATCTACTGGCTTCAGCTGAGACAATGCTGATTCCAGATCGTCAAGCAGTCCGGGGACTTTATGGTCGTACCGCTTATTAGCGTAAATGTGATTAAGTAATTTCTCGAATGCTGTGCAAATATCACTAAACTGTTGAGTGTATAGAGTTTCAGGGCCTTTCGGCGGAGGATTTTTCTTCTTGTTGTCCTCCTCGTTTGCCCTGGTGATTTCTGCTTGGAGATACTCTTTTACTGATTCAAAGGAGTACATGAAAGAGAATGACAATTTTTTGAAAAATTCTTTCTTCTCATCAGCCGTCGAAGATGATGCATTTTTAAGATCGCTAAGCAATCTAATATTTCTGTTATCCCTCTTATTAACGTCCGTCGTCCCATCCTCCAGCGTCTTCATAAACCCCTTGAAGCCAATCGTGAGATCTTTGTTGATAAGATCGGGCAAAGGCTGCAGCTCCTGCGTGACCTTCGTGGCAAAGGCCGTGAGCAGCTGCTTGACGGAGGTGACGTAGTTGCGGCGGGCGCGGGTGGTGAGGGTGGAGATGGCTTCTTCAGCTTGTTGGTCGATGTATTCGTGGATTGCATTAATTGTTTGATCAAACAATGAATCTGCGACGTTCTGAAAATCTTTCGCGGACTGGATGGGATCACGCAAACAGATATACAACTTACGTTGATCGTTGCAAATTTTCTGAAGACTACTCTCCTCAGCTGCAGCTGTGGCTACACCAATGGTCTTACCAATCATCTTATCTTTTAGTTTGTCCAATTTGTCGTTAATAGATTTGCCGGTTCGAACGAGTGCCTCCATGAGAGCGTCGATATTGTTGGTGATCTGCGTGAGGAAGCCGACAGGTTCTGCTATGTTCTGGCCATCCTTTTCTAATTTGTTTTTGAACGTCTCTAGCCCATGGGCTCCAATGGTGTTTATGGCGGTTGGGAGTGTGCCTTCAGTGCCTTTCACGGCGTCGAGGTTACCGGACGCAAGGGCGGCCAGGGCATCTTCCTCTTGGGAGACGTGCAGTTTGTAATTTTTGAAAACATCTTCCGTGGTGCCATTAAGTGTTACTGTACCGCTTGCCTCTTTCAACTGCTGCTCGAGCGTGGCGCCCACCGCCTCGATAGCCTGGTCGACGGCTTGGGCGTGGTTGGTGCCTTTGGGTTGCCCAGTCGCCGCGTTAAGCTTAGCGAATAACTCATTAGCTACCTGTGAAGCGTTTTTCACATAGGTTATGTTTGACGTCGTTCTCAAGGTATCCAGTTGTTCACCTATTTGCTTGGCCGTTTCAGCGATGGCAGCGAGCGTGATCTTCACAGCGTCTTCGAGATCATAGTTATTAGTTGCTGAATTGGGTCTAACGGCTCCTTTGTGTAGTTGTTCTGCAATATCCGTAGCCATCTGAGTAAAATTAAGTACACCATTTTTCATATTACTATTAACCTCCTCCGCAAATGCAGTGAGACAAGTTTTTACGGCTACCAAATTGCCGTTAACATCATTTTGATTAGTACTCAAAGCTCTGGCCTGAGCTGCGGTAATAATTTTCTTATTAAGTTCCTCCATAATTTTCCTCTTTACCGCGTCTTGTAATTGAGTAATACCCTGGCTTTTTAGCTGACTACCACTATACAACAAGTAGGATCGTAGGCCACTGACTCCGCCTATGTCATCTACTATCTTCTCAATTATCAACTGCACTGTAGTGGCAAGTTGTCCATTGACAAACGTAGTGGCATAGCTGTTCATCCCAGTAATAATTTGTTTGAGACCTTTGTTATTTCTTCCGTTGCCCTCACCCGCAACCTCTCCCAGCCGTCCCTTAATATACTGGAAAATCTTTTCAACACTTTTCGGCGGAGATGGGACACCACTGCTTCCAGCCTCTTCAAACACACTCCCAAGCTCCTTCACCTTCCTATTAATCTCCTTCACCTTCCCTTTAATCGCCCCCCTCACCCCAAACAAATCCTCCTTTAACTTCCCGTCCATCTCTTTCACGGCCTGCAGCGCCTTTCCAACCAGTTCTTTGACGTACTTCTCCGCCTCCCCAAACGTCCTAGTAATTTCTTTAGTAACATCCTCAATACTTTGTTTAGCTCCCCAAGCAACACTCCTATTCTCAAGGCCGTTAGCCACATCCATGGATTCTCTCACGATTTTATCTGCGTCACTAATCCAATTTTCCAACTTGCCAACGTAATTACCAAGATCGTTCTCAATCCCTACTAACTTATCTCTAATCATCCGAACCATCCCTCTCAACGTATTAACCAGGGAACTAACTTCGGCCTTTATATGCTTTCTTATGCATGTTTGCAAAGCATTCATAGTGTCAATAATGGTTTTATTCATGCTGATCATGTCATTCCACTGCTTAGTGGATGCCTTGTCCAGCCGTTCACGTTCATGTGCAATAGTGTTTCTAACATTATTTACCCTAGTGCGCAAATCGTGATTTAGGTGATCTATGTTTAAAAGTGCAGTTCTCATATTTTTGCTGAATGTGTCAGCGTTGCGTATACAGTTCATCGAGCTGTCGTAGATCAATGACTCGGCGTCTTGAATCTTCTTGACTTCCTCGTCACTAAATGACTTCCGCTCACCTGCATCAGAATTATCCTTTAAAATTCCACTCACCTGAGTTTGAAGACTCTTCATATTCTTCTGCATCCCTGTAACAATATTTCTTACAGCTTCATTAGATCTCTCCACTTCCCTATTATACCTCCCGACACCCGTGGCCACAGTCTCAATGACTCTCTTAAAACCATCATGGCCTGAACATAATTTACGTTGAAGCTCACTAACAACACCATTTAAGCCTTCTTTACCAACAGTGTAAGGCTGTTTATTGTGGACATCTTTAATCACGCCGTGCAAGAACGCCATCACCCCGTCGCACAGCCTGTCGAGGTCGGAGTACACAATTCCTTCTCCGGTGTAATTACCATTCTCGTAGCCGAGAAATTTTTCGAGGCCTCCACAAAGGTTATTTAAAAGATTTTTAGGATTTTCAGATTTTTTATCAACTTCCTTAGCATATCCACAAAGCTCTTTCAGTGTCTCAAGAGACCTCTTGGAAGCCTGATGAGACTCAAGAGATTTAGAAAGCTTGTCAATTTCAGAGGCATTTTTAGGAGGTTGATAGGCATCATTAATATTAAAAAGGAGGTGAAATGGCACATTTTAGGGCGATTTGGGGGAATTTGGGGAAAGGCGATTTTAGGTGAAGGAGGCAGCGAGGAGTGAGGGAGGTGGGTGGACAGGGTGAGGGAGGTGAAGGGACGAAGGAGGGCGATGAGGGGGGAAGATGGGTTGACGTAAGGCGATTTAGGAAGTGGAGGGAGAATGTGGAAAATGAGGATTTGGGCGAAGGACGCCGACGGAGGAGGTGATGGAAGCAGGAGGCAGGGAGGTGGGTGGTTGAGTGGTTGAGTGGTTGAGTGGGTGAGTGAGTGGGTGAGTGAGTGAGTGGGTGAGTGGGTGAGTGAGTGGGTGGTCGAGTGGGTGAGTGAGTGGTTGAGTGAGTATGTGAGTGGGTGAGTGAGTGGTTGAGTGGGTGAGTGGGTGGTTGAGTGGGTGGTTGAGTGGTTGAGTGGGTGGGTGGGTGAGTGGGTGAGTGGGTGGGTGGGTGATACACAGATCACACGTGAAGGCACGATTATGGCGAGAAGTACTTGACGTTGGCGAGTGCCTTGACGCGTGCGGCGGCGAGGAGGGACTGCGCGGCGATGCGGTGGCTTGAGGGTGATCTCAGGTGGGAGCGTATCCTCAGCACGTCGAGGCGGACGACGGCGATGTGCAGCAGGTACAGGAGCGACACCGACCAGAGGGCAAGTAAAGTATTCATGAATGGTGATCTGATTTTGCATAGGTAATCGGGAATCGTCTTGTAAATGAGCTCCGCGAGCGCTGCTCTCTTTGAGCATTCTTCGCTGATTGCACTTTTCAATATCATACAAAAATCTTTGCACGTCCGTTTACCCGAGTTGTCAGACAGGCTTTTGCAGTCCTTGTGAGTGAACCCATATTTATACAGTGTCGGACGTATAAATTTGCAGTTGACAATGGAATTGCAGTTATCAGTGTGCGCTGAGGTTGGGGACATCGGCGAGTGTATAGCCTTGCAACCTTTGTTGCACTTACTAATACGGCATTTGGCCCTGTCACCGTCACACGTATTCTTGCATTCCTCATACAAAGCTTTCAACAACCCGTGGAATGAGTCCGTTAAATATACGATCCACGTAAGATATTTTCCATTATTCTTAGAGGCAAACATACTGCATATGTCTTGACAAATTGGTCGCAGGTACGGACCACACGGATGGGATGGAGTGGACGATTCACCATGGCAGTTAACGAGTGAATATAGATCGCCGGTGAGATGTTTACAAGTTTGTCCGGAGGACTTCGGGAGAATGTGATTGCTGCTTTTGAACATATCAGTGATTTCCAGTGTGGTATCAGGATCCCCGAAGTTGGCGCTTTTGACTGCCTCCTTAAATGCTGTCTCTCTATGTTCTCCAAGTTTATCTTTCTCTCTGCGATTATTAATCCAGCCGTTGAGGAAAGTGTAATAAAATGCAAACATGTCACCGAGTGTCTGCGGCGCAGTAGGAAGGAGACAGCTCAGCTGGGCACATAGTCTGCTGAGGGGAGACCATTCATCGCCACATAGTCTGGCAAGAGAGACGTAAATGTGTTTACCAACGTGCGTATGCGATGCCATATGGCTGATATCAGTGAAGCCCATTGGTGTTTTGCAGGGGAAGTTAAAGTGCTGCTTTACTGGGCACTCAAGTTTGCCTCTCTCAGACTTCACTTGATGTGGCAAATAAGCGGGAAGTCCGTCCTCGAGGAACGACTGGAGCGGCGACTTAAGGCCGCACTTAACACTTTGGTTACAGTTTTGGTCACAGCGTTGCTTATGTGTTTGGTTGGCAATTTGGTTGGGACACTGTTTTTCATTGCACCGCCAGGCTGACCCGCCTACTTCCCTGCCGTACCAACAGTCACGCCATCCACCGAGATCAGTGGTGTAATGACATTGTTGGTATAGCAAGTAAAGTTGGTGGTGGACACGTTTGAGGATATCAAACAGCCAACATACCAGCGATGTCATGCTAGAGGGATACGACAGTTGATCTGGGTTTGTATTAAATTCGCAGGCGTACCGGCCACCCGAGTGACCATGTCCCAGTATACTGGTCAGTACATCGTGGGCGTGAGTGCAAACATCTGCAAGTGACGCTGATAGCGATGCGACTGTGACGTCTTCTGGATATGCTGGCAGTGATACTTCATTGAGGATGTCAAATGAAGGCTCGCCTCCCTCACTATCTTCGGGAGTTGCTGCCTTACTGCCCTCGGAGCTCTGCTCCTCCGGCTTCTCAAACAGGTCATTGAAACCGTCGGTGGTAAGCTGTAGATACACCTGACTGTGCGGCAAGCCGCTAAGCCACGTCAACATCTGGTATATAGAAGAAGGGTACTTAGGTGATGTTATAGTGGGAAGGTGGCACACACGGTAGTAGGTAGCAAGGCAGTCGTGAAGTTTTTCGATATTGGTCATTACAGTGTAATTTTCTTTCACGGTTAACGTGAGCTGTGTCAGTTTAGTAAGAATATTGTCACCACTGCACTTGCTGGTTAACTCGTCGTCCTGCTTTCCCCCTATGGATGGCACGCCATAACCGAAACGCTTCAGACATAAACCGAGATCATTGATGCTTCCGCCGGAATTCTTAAGGCATATCTTTCTATTCTTCCAATTCGTCTCACACTGATGCTTGAGCTCATTAAGATCATGACTAAATATCTCCAGTATGGTCAGGCATACCTTGGCGCAGTTGCGGCCCTCAGTGGAAAGGACTTTATCCGCTGGGTTTTTGGTGGACTTTGTGTCATCTTCCACCCAGCTATCTGTAGGGATTTCTCCGCTATACTTATTCACATACGCGTGGGAGAGTTGCTCGGTGAATTTTGTCATGCCGCCCTTGAGGGCGTCGAGGAGCAGCGGGTTGTGGAAGCCGTGGAAGTTGGGAGATGTTAAGTTGGTAACGGATTTCTTGAGTTTTTCTAGCAATTCATCAGATACATGATCGAAGTTAAATGGCCTAATTAAATTACCAGATGTGTTGCGTTTAAGATAGTTAAGTAAGTAGTCTAGTTTGCCTTGAATATCGTGGACGTTATCGGATTGTGGATTAGACTCCGGATCCTGAGAGGGATCTTTATTCGGCGTTTTTACTTGTCCTTCGATGTAAACGAGAACTTTATCAGCATATTTCTCAAATCTTGTGGATAAGTCTTTGAACTTACCGGAATGATCCTTCGCTGTCAGAGTTGGCTGAGTTGGCGTAGGAACAATTTTTTGAATTTCTCCCAAAGAATATTCACCTGTGCCTTTCATCCACTTCAGCATCCCCTTCACGCCCGTGACTGCGTCCCGCGCGATTATTGTTTGCACTTCCCGCAGTTGCTGGTCGACGAGCGCGCGCAGGGCCTGGAGGTCGGCGGCGTGGGAGGTGGAGAAGAGGGAGTGGATGGAATTTGTGAGGGCGGAGAAGGCTTGTTTCGTGGTAGCTATCACAGTATCCGAGAGGTGGGAGACGGATTGCTCGGCATTTATATGCGCTGTTTGAAGAGATTCGCGGACAGCGTCAATCGCTTGTGTCAATGCGCTGTCTGCCAGCTCAACATAATAGGATATGGTGTGAATTTGCTCCTTAAGCACAGTATTGAATGTATCCGTTATTTTCACCGCCGCGTCTTGAGCATTTTCAACCTGGCCAGGAAGACTTTCCAACCTGTTCACTGTAACAATAGTGGCAGTGATCGCTTGTTGGATTGCACCTGGATCGTCGGAGAACTCAGCAGTGTGCAATTTGCCAAGTTGATCTCTAATTTTGCCAAGCTGGTCATCAATGTTTTTGCTTTTCAGATCATACAAGTACACGTTGACGTATCTACCGGTTTTAGAAACTGTCTTTGTGAGAGTACTGAGGTTAGTGCTGATATCAGTGGACAATTCTGTGAGCTTTTTAACGGTTGGAGAAATGTCGAATACTTTTTTAGAGTAATGGCTAATGGAATTTAAAGCGGGTGTGAGTTTATTGAAGGCAGCTTTCATTTCTTTGCCATAGAATATTTCATTTTTAATTTTTCCGTGAAGGTCTTTACTAATAGCACTATAAGCTGACATGTTGTGTTCACCAACATCTGCAAAGTTCGTTAGCGCCTTGAGGACTTTTGCAATTTCCTCATTAGTAGGGTTGCCATTATTACCTAAGCCGGTCGGTATGTATCCCCGAAGCCAATCTGCCAACTTACTTCCTTTAGGCAACTTATTGGCAATATTACCAAGATACTGACCCTCTCCAGCCACTACGGCTTCCACCAATTTAGTAATATAGTTGACAATTCCGCTATTTATTCTTCCCGTCACCCTCGTCATATCCCTTATAAATTCTTCGTCCAGTTCCGTCACCTTATCCTGCACTCCCTTAACTAATGTGTCCATCTCCTGTATAAAATCATTCTTAATATAGTCATCCAGCCTGTCTTTCCACACCTTCAACTCAGCCACTTTTTCCTCAATAACATCCTGATTTTCCTTCCCAACTTCCTTTTTCATAAATTGAGAAGCATACTTCTGCGCTTGTTCGATACGTCTGTATGCTTCATCCATACAACCATTCAAATTCCGAATACATCCACCCAACTCTCTACCAACGTCCTCCACCGCCGACTTGATCTTCTCAACTTGCTCTTCAAGCAGACATTTATCAGCATCCGTCTTCCTAATTTCCGTCATTGCATCTTTCAGATCAACAAATTTCTGAAGGATAGGAATCTTATAATCATTGTCAAAGGTATCCAAAAATCTACGACAATCCTTCAATGTCCCACGAATATTTGTAAAATGTGTTTTCTGTGACGCATACAATTTCATTATTTCCTCCAATACCTTTCGAATGTCGACATCCAACTTCACCCACAAATCTTTACACTCCCTCCTGATTGAGGAATCCACTTTTTCTTTCTCTTCTACCAACGTTTCATCAACATGAATCACCTGCTGCTTTATGGTGTCATTCCCCGCTGATAATTTAAGCGTCTGAACGGTCGCCTTAATAAGCTTAATTTCGTGCGTTATCTGTGTACTAAGTGAGTTATCTAAGAAATTAACATGCTTAGTTTCTATGTCATTAACAGCATCTGAGATACTGCCAAGTACGGAAGTCCAAGCTTGCAACTGGGTCTCGAGCTTCTTGTCTTGATGACCTGAAACAACATTAGTAGCATATTTTTCTATTGTGTCATGTAACAACTCACCTAATTTGTTCTTCACGTCGCCTGTCTTGTCATTTACCTGCGTCCAATATTTCTTAAGCCATCCACTCACCTTTTCAATCCTCTCACCAAAGACACTGCGTCCCTGGCCAATGGAAGATTGGAGAGAGTCAAGTAATTTTTGAAGTTGATGATCTTTATTATCAATGTATTTATCATAAGTTGTAACGTTATCATCATCTTTCACACTCTCAAGAACTCCATGAAGGAAAGACATCACCCCGTCGCAGAGCCTGTCAAGGTCCGAGTACACGATGCCAGTGCCATCGTAGCCTTTGGAAGTTTCTTGGTAACCAAGGAACTTCTCCAGGCCAGAGCACAGGTTAGTAAGTAAATCATGTGGATTATTAAGGACATTTTCAGGGCGATTTGGGGGAATTTGGGGAAGGGCGATTTTAGGTGACGGAGGCAGCGAGGGAGCGAGGGAGGTGGGTGGACAGGGTGAGGGAAGTGAAGGGGCGAAAGAGGGCGATGAGGTAGGAAGATGGGTGGAGAGAGGCGATTTCAGAGGTGGAGGGAGAAAGTGGAAAATGAGGATTTGGGTGAAGGACGCCGACGGAGGAGGTGATGGAGGGGGTGACGGAGGAGGGAGCGAAGCGACCAGTGAAAGGGTAGGTGAGTGGTTGAGTGGTTGAGTGGGTGGGTGGTTGAGTGGTTGGGTGAGTGGGTGAGTGAGTGGTTGAGTGGTTAGGTGGTTGAGTGGGTGAGTGGTTGAGTGGGTGGGTGGTTGAGTGGGTGGGTGGTTGAGTGGTTGAGTGGTTGAGTGGTTGAGTGGTTGAGTGGTTGAGTGAGTGGTTGAGTGGTTGAGTGAGTGAGTGAGTATGTGAGTGGGTGAGTAGGTGGGTGGTTGAGTGGGTGGTTGAGTGGTTGAGTGAGTGGTTGAGTGGTTGAGTGAGTGAGTGAGTATGTGAGTGGGTGAGTAGGTGGGTGGTTGAGTGGTTGAGTGGTTAGGTGAGTGGGTGGTTGAGTGGTTGAGTGAGTGGGTGGGTGCGTGGTTGAGTGGTTGAGTGGTTGAGTGGTTGGGTGGTTGAGTGGGTGGGTGGGTGGGTGAGTGGTTGAGTGGTTGAGTGGTTGAGTGGTTGAGTGAGTGGGTGGGTGCGTGGTTGAGTGGTTGAGTGGTTGAGTGGTTGGGTGGTTGAGTGGGTGGGTGGGTGGTTGAGTGGGTGGGTGGTTGAGTGGTTGAGTGGTTGAGTGGTTGAGTGGGTGGGTGGTTGAGTGGTTAGGTGGGTGGTTGAGTGGTTGAGTGGTTGAGTGGGTGAGTGGTTGGGTGAAGGCACGATTATGGTGAGAAGTACTTGACGTTGGCGAGTGCCTTGACGCGTGCGGCTGCGAGGAGGGACTGTGCGGCGATGCGGTGGCTTGCGGGCGAACGCAGGTGGGAGCGTATCCTCAGGACGTCGAGGCGGACGACGGCGATGTGCAGCAGGTACAGGAGCGACAGCGACCAGAGGGCTAACAATGTATTCATGAATGGCCATCTGATGGCGCACAGGAAATTGTCGCACTCCTTGAACAGCTTTTGGAAATATTCTGATTTTAGCACTTTCTTCAACTGGCTGCAGAAATCTTTACACTTCTTCGGCGTCTTACCATCATTCAACGTCGACGCCTCGCCGAAGCTGAATCCATACTGGTAGAGCGTTGGTGCCACACCCTTGCAGGCCACTATGGAATGACACTGACAGGTAACATCTTTCTCATCCTCAACGACGCCGTGCTTGCCACTCTTGCACTTGTCTCCCCTAAGACATCCACGGCATCCCCAATCTGCACAAGTGATTTCACAGAAAGCGTTATATAAATTGTTGAGTAGATCCCAAAATGTCCATGGGAGGTATATGGCCCAGGACAAATACGTGTTAGAATTCTTAAATGGTAGACAGATGTAATAGTCCCTATAGAGCGATGACAGATACGGAGCGCAGTATACCTCTTGGTTACGGTCAATACATGCTGACGGCATTGCTAAACTAGAAACGTCTGCGTATGCAGGTAGATGATTCTTCTCGCCATATGTGCTATGCTTATTACGGTACGCATTACGCAATGCATCTGTGAGTTTCGATGTTTCGTTATATAGATGGATAGATACCTCCTTGGCGGAGTTTTCGATATTTGTTTGTATAACGTCCTTAACGTAATTTGCGTCATTATGCCATCCCTTAACAAGCGCTAATGTGAACTGGAAGTGTTCAGGCAAAGAGGCTGGCGGCTTGGTGACAAGGCAGAGGATAGATCTAATATGGTCATCATCAAGCAATTTGGCAAGGATGTCACATATGTCCCTACCCCTTCTCATGCTGCCAGAGAATGTCTTAAATCCGAGAGGTGTTACACAAGGTGAACCACGTTGAGATGTGGGACACGTTTTGCATTCGGCTTTACAGCCGACTGACTCCAGTCGGTGAGGCAAATGGCCGGGTAGGCAATCGTTTAAGTAGCTTTGTAGAGGGGATTTTGGTTGGCAGTTTGGTTCGGTGTTTGCCTGGCACGTTGCCTGGCCCTTTGGTTGGCCTCTTGGTTCGGGCTTAGGATGCTCGTCACACGGCCATTTGGCTGGCTTCACATCTTTGCCGTAACGGCACTGTGACCAACCGCCGATGCTAGCGGGATAGCTGCACATGGTTTCCAGATATCTGAGTGTTGGCAACAGTCTACGGAGAATTTCAAGGAACATCTGAAGGCAATCGGCACCTCTATTAGGGTATTTCAACTTAAGTGAGTTGGTGCAGAAGTCAACACCGTAAATGGTCTCGGCGTCCCCGGTGCCGAGGATGCAAACGAGAAGATCGTACGCCTGTGAGCACATATGCGTCACTGCGGCTTGCGTATGATTGAATGTTATGCTGTTCGGGTGTGCTTTTATGGGCACGGTGCTCATGTCTGTTACTTCCATTTCAACGCCGTCAATTACTTCTTTCATCTTCTTCTTTGGGTCCTCGAATAAGTCTGTCACGGCCACGTCACGCATATCTGTAAATACGGGATGATGCGGGAGCCCTGACATCCAAACTAGAATTTCGAATATGCTACACGGTGATTTAGTTGCGGATAATGTAGAGTAGTGACAGACTTCATTGTACTCGTTGAAGTGGCTGAGCAGGCAATCGAGAAGGTCGAAGAGATCATATAATGTTTTTGCTTTTTGACCTTCATGGTGCTTTTCTTTTACGCACGTATTAAGATGTGCGTTATTATACGTATCGGTTAATGATTCAGCCAATTTTACCAGCAGATCTGATCCCTTCATACTTTCCTTGCACTGCAGCTCGGCGTCCTGCTTGCCGTTGTCCTCACTGGGGATCCTGTAGCCGCACCTCTCGAAGAAAGCGCCGAGTGAATTTCCTGTGCCCTTCTGCGTCTTGCATATTTTCTTGTTCTTCCAGCCGTATTTCGTGGCGTCCTCGCACCTCTTCTTCAGCGTGGCCATGTCTTCGTAGACGATGTTGAGAAGGGTGAAAAATGTCTTAGCGCAATTCTTCCCATCAGCTTCCCACGCAAAGTCCATTGGTGGATGCCCCTCGTACAGGTTAACGTACGCCTTGCCAATCTCCCCGAGGAAAGACTGGAGGCCTGACTTCAGGACGTCTAGTAGGGGACTGTCGTGCTCGGCGAACTTTGTAGGACGCATGGAGTCGAGGAAGTTGGTGAATGCGTCACATTTATATACAGTGGAGTAGTTAGAGCAACCGTTGTGAAGTGCGCTAAAAAGTTGCCGGGTATGCAGATCAAGTTCGTCGAAAAACTTTTCAATGGGATTCTTGGAGGACGGGGAGGGAGATGGTTGGTTGGTGGGAGGGGAGGGAGGCTGAACTGGACCGATGTATCCTACACGTCCGCCAGGTTGGGGAGCATCTTGCGCTTTTTGCGACTTTGTGGCCGTTGCCGGCCGCGCTCTGTAACCGCCGCCGGAGATTGGAGGTGGGACTGGAGGGAGGGAGGGAGTCGGGGGCTTGGGGATGAGTTGGTATTTAATATAGTTTTGAATAGGAATAAAGTAATCCTTGAACTTTGCGCACAACTCATTGAAATTTCTTTGAGTTGCCACAGCGTCTAAATCACTTCTGTGATCGTGCATCCACACCAGTAACCCCTTGACGCCGTTTGCAAGGTCATCATCAATTATACGTTTTACATCGTCCAATTGCTTTCGTACTAATTCTTGCAAAGCTGATAGGTCTGCAATTTGTTGGTCGGAAACCAATTTTTGGATCTGCGTTTTGAGGAGGCGGAAGGCTTCCTTGACGGCATGTGTTATTTTGGTTCTGAGGGTTGTAGTTGCTTGTTTGATCTGTTCGTAGGCTCTATCCAATGCATCTTTGACAAGACGTATGGCCGTTTCTAATGCGGAATCGGCGATATCAATAAAGTAGGATATGTTGTCAAGCTTATCCTGCAATTCCTTCTTCAACTTGGACATAAGATCGTCGGCATCATCCCTCTCCTTGTTAATCTTCCCTCCCGTCTCATTCTTTTTAGTGTCATGGAGGTCGTCAAGGGTGGTGGCAATTGTTTTGAGCTTCGCCTGAATCAAACCTTGTTGGTCCGATGCATTATCTTCCAGCAATTTGTGGAGCTCCTGAATTCTTAGTTCAACTATTGCCAATGCTGCTCCTATTTTTTCTCCGTGACTATTATTGCTTCCACCTTTGTCTTTAAATTGCCCACCGATTTTGTCGACGCTACTTATAGCTCTATTAACATTGTCGTTAAGATTAAACTCTATGCTGAATCGTTGTAGTTCATTGCCCGTCTGCCTACCTACTCCAACAAGTTGGTATACAGTAAGTTGTATGGCGCGATAGAGATCTGAACTCTTCTGCGATTTGTCCACATCGCTCACAAGCGCTTTTCGACATGCGACCGTACAGTATGCACCTTGCTGGTAATTTGCTTCCCAAGTTCCTTGGAAAATGCATCGCAGACACCATTGACATCTTCAATGTTGTCTTGAATTTTGTCTCGGGTTGTGTCTTTGGCCGCTTCTTTGCTTTTATTAATTTCCTCCGTAAGTTTTTCCTTAATTCGGTTCCTTAGGTGTTCCATAACAATCCTATTATTTTCACCCTTCTGCCACGATGTGTATTGTCCATGTAGCGCACCATTCTTTTCTTTATTCGCTTCAAAATAACCATCAAGTAAACCCTTTACCGGTTCAGTGCCCAAAATCCCATCTATCCACACATCCAAAACTCTATTTTCAAAATTCGACTTAGTGAACTTGCCAGCACAATCACTCACGTTCTGAACAATATTGTGAAGATTTCCCGGTGTCGTGGCCTTTTTTTATTCGTCAAGCCATCAACAAGCTTCTCTATCTCTTCTATAAGCAGCGCCAAATGGCCATTTATCGTATCATTTCCTTATCCTCCATCTTTCCTACCGTTCTTTTCAAAGTCGCAAACTCCGTCTTAGCCTGATCCACCAGCTTGTCAAGCTCTCCCTTTTTGTGCACTAATCTAACATAAACGTTATTGACCTGTTTTTTGATCTCATCAAACTTCTCATATATCTGATTTCGAGTACTCCCAACGCTAACTCCCAGATCCTTATTGACATATTGCTGGGCATCCCCGACTGCCTTGTTCAAATGGCTAATCTGTTCTTTCCTTTTATCTTCCAATGAATTGACACCTACACGAATATTCCACAACGCCTCCTCAAACGTTTTTTTAACGACGAGATAATGTTGTTCAATCTCTCTCTCAAGATATTCTCGTTGATTCACCAACAATCCATCGACTACTTTCACCTGCCACGCTAAGGCATCATTGCTAGCAGCGTCGACATAGGTCCTAACCGATGCTTTAATCGGCTCTACTTTGTGCGTTATTTGTGACTTAAGTGTGCTATCTAACAAATTAACTTTAGTGTCAATAGTTTCTAATTTATGTGAGATGCCTGACACGATAGCGTTCCACTTCGTTAACTGCTCCTCCAGCGTGTCACCTTGATTACGTTGGACGTACTTCCCGAATTCACCTGAAACCATATTAAGATCACTACTTAACTCACCTAATTTAGTCTTCACGTCGCCTGTCTTGTCATTTACCTGCGTCCAATATTTCTTAAGCCATCCACTCACCTTTTCAACCTGCGCACCAAAGACACTGCGTCCCTGGCCAATTGAAGATTGGAGAATTTGAAGGACAGTATGTAAATCATCATCATTGTTTTTTAATTTAATGTATTTATTGTATGTTGTAACGCTCTCATCATCCCTCACTCCACTAAGAACTCCATGAAGGAAAGACATCACCCCGTCGCAGAGCCTGTCAAGGTCCGAGTACACGATGCCGGAGCCGGTGTAATTACCTTTCTCGTAGCCGAGAAAATTTTCGAGGCCTTCAGTAAGACTCTCTAAAAGCTTTTTAGGATTTTCATTATTTTTAACATCCTTACAATGTTGACAAAGCCCTTGTAGACTGTTGAGAGACTTCATAGACATCTGATGAGAGTCAAGAGATTTAGAATCTTTCTCAGGGAAAGCATTTTTGGCTTCATTAAGCCTTTCTTCAGCATCTTTAAGCTGTCTTTTAAGATGATCAACATTTTCCCCCTCCTCAATTTGCTTTTTAAGGCCATTCACTTTAGACTGAAGGCTATCAACTTTCTTTTTCTTAGCTTGAAGGTCATCAATTTTCTTTTGAACAGCTTCAATTACAGTTGTAATTTGCTTTGTAAGCTCAGGAATTTGTGAGGAAATTTTTGTTTTAAGCTTCTCATTTTCCTGTTGAAGCCTTGTAACATCAACAGAAACACTGTCTTGAGAATTCTTATTTTCTGCAAGTTTCTGCGCAATTTGTGATTGAAGAGAATCATAATTCTTACACTTTTTCTGCATATCTTCAAGAAGTTTCTGAAGCTCATCAACATCATTACACCCCTCACCTCCGCAAGACGTTTGTAAAAGCTTAACAAGCTGATTTACATTACTGTGCAAACCATATAAAATTGCATTCTTAACTTCATCTCCACCGCCAATAAAACCCGCAAGCTGTCCAGCAAGCTGACCAAGAGAGATACGGCGGGCATCAATGTCCCCTAAGGCTCTTTTTCTGGCATCCTCAGTAAGGTAATGAACGTCATTATAATGGTTATTGTAGTTGGATTAAAGGTGGATTAACAGAGAGTTAGAAGAAGTAAAGGGGGATGAAATGGCACATTTTCAGGGCGATTTGGGGGAATTTGGGGAAAGGCGATTTTAGGTCAAGGAGGCAGTGAGGGAGGTGGGTGGACAAGGCGAGGGAGGTGAAGGGGCGAAAGAGGGCGATGAAAGAGGAAGATGGGTTGGGATAAGGCGATTTTAGGGGTGGAGGGGAAAAGTGGAAAATGAGGATTTGGGCGAAGGACGCCGACGGAGGAGGTGAGGGAAAGGTGATGGAGGGAGCGAAGCGACCAGTGAAAGAGGAGGTGGGTGAGTGGTTGAGTGGGTGAGTGGGTGAGTGAGTGGGTGAGTAGGTGAGTGGGTGATTAGGTGAGTGGTTGAGTGGTTGAGTGAGTGAGTGGGTGGGTGAGTTGGTGGTTGAGTGGGTGGGTGGTTGAGTGGGTGGGTGGTTGAGTGGGTGGTTGAGTGGGTGAGTGAGTGAGTGGGTGGGTGAAGGCACGATTACGGTGAGAAGTACTTGACGTTGGCAATTTTCCCAACCTTTGCAACGGCGAGGAGCGACTGTGCGGCGATGCGGTGGCTTGAGGGCGATCTCAGGTGGGAGCGTATCCTCAGGACGTCGAGGCGGACGACGGCGATGTGCAGCAGGTAAAGCAAGGAGAGGGACCAGAGGGCTAATAGCGTCCATATAAAATTCTTCCTGACACAGAACATGAAATCGTCAATTGCCTCGAGGAAATTCTTTAATAACTTTGATTTCAATATACTCTCAATTGCCTTAATAAGGATGTGGCATTTCTTCGTCCCTTTGTAAACGGCGTCTGCATACATGAAACCACACTTATAGAATGCAGACATTACGCCTTTGCAATGTTTGATTGATCTGCATTCACATGTTTCAGCGCCATGCTTGCCTACTTTGCAGCCATCGCTGCTGACACAGGACGAACAACCAGAGTTGTAACATGATATGTCGCAAAACACTTTCTTAAATTCCTCAAGGAACTTTTGAAGCTGAGGGCAACTATATACCAAATACGACAAGTACTTGTCGGCGTACTTCGGGGCCAGGGTGGAGTAACCGGCGTAATTTAACGGCTGCATAAAACCGCCGCAACTATTTTCATTGCAGCCAGTTAGATATTTCAAGTCCACTCCCGCATCAATGGTATGAGCGTGAGGTGTCGAAGATTCATGCAGTAGACGGCACGGTCTAAGAAGCATTGCGGCATCACTATATTTGCAGGTAACACCGTCTATGATTTGTTTGCATATTGCCTTTTGGATCGGATGCAACACTTCCGTATTTTGGCTATCCAGCATCGGTTTCCACGATTGCGTGAGTGAGCAATAGAACGTGAAAATGTCACATAACGTCTGAGGTGGTGGAACGGTAATGCACGTAAGCATGGAGTAAAGGCTGGTGAACACTCCATGTCTTCCGCACATATCATTAAGCACCAGGCATATGTCCTTACCCGTTTTGGTACTCCCGAAAAGATCCTGAAACCAAGGGGTATCAGACACGGCATATTACGTGAACCAGATGAACAGGTGACACATTTGTAGCTACAGCCGACTGTAGTTAACTGATGTGGCAAGTGGCCCGGCAGGCAGTCGTTTAAGTAAGACATTAATGGAGAGGTTGGCTGGCACGTAGGTTCACAGGTTGGTTGGCACGCTGATCGGCACGCAGGTTTACTATTTGGTTGCTCATTTGCTTTGCCCCTTGGGTGGTCCTTACATTGCCAATTTGATGGCTCGACGCCGTTGCCGTATTGGCAGTCACGCCAGCCGAAATCTCTGGCACTGTATTTGCATTGTATTTGTAGGAATTTAAGTGGGGAGTAGAGTCGGCGAAGCAAGTCAACGAGCGTATCAAAGCACGCGGCAGGATTGGATGGATACTGTAATTGAAGTGCGTTACTAGCGAAGTCACAGCCATAAGTGGTTAGGGCATCACCATGACCGGCAATGGTGCAGATGAGAGTCTGACAGCGGGATGCCACGCGTTTAATTGCACGATGTACTTTGTCATCGGAAAAGGATGAGGGATGCGCCTCAATGGGTTGAAGGATTTTCTTAGATGGATCACTTTTATCTGGTACTTTAAACAGATTTGTAATGTGATCTTTAAGTTGGTTGTAGATGTGATTATGTGGGAGGCCGGACAGCCAAGACAACATATCTTTTACAGAGCATGGATGCCTATTTGCGGATAATGTTGACATGTGAGAGACCTGATTGTATTGATTTAGATGAGTAACAAGACATTCAAGTATGGCTAAAACATTAAATTTGTTTTGCGCTTTTGGTTGACAAGATGGCAGATGAAGATCTTGGTCGGCGTCGTCGATTGTGCTTTCGAGGTTCTTGTAAATTTTGCCGCCCGTCATACTAATGCCGTCATGCAATTCACCATTTTGTTTGTCTTTGTTGGAAACATCATAGCCTTGCTCGGATAGGAATATTCCCAGTTCTGTGGATTTGTTTATTTTGTTGAATTTACATCTTACAACGCAAAATTTATGTAACTTATTTACATTAGTGTTTACAGTGTACAGCGAGGTGAGCAACACCTTAGCGCACTTTTCTCTATCAGGCTCGCCAATGTCTGCCCACTTCAGTCCGCTGTACCTGTTCACGTACTGTTTGCCCAGTTCGCCTGCCAGTCGCTTCGCTCCAGCGGTCAGCGCGTCGAGCAGCTCAGGGTGTTTGTGGCCGTTGAACTGCTTGGGAGTTAGTGCTGTGATTGCGTCGTTAAGTGCGGCTAGGTCAGTAGTAAACGTGTAGTCGAAGTGATATTGTTTATTTGGATTCTCTAATTTTAGGTGGCTGAGTAACTTGTCCAGTTGCTGTTTGAGGCGGTCGACTTGGCGGGAGCGGGACTGGGAGGAGGTGTAGAGAAGGATTTCATGTAAATATTCTTTCACATTTTTAGTTGCATTATTAAATTTGTCATCGATGAGAATATCAAAAATCTTATCATTCTGAGTTTCCATGAGGTTCATTAATCCCTTCACGCCGGACATGCTGTCCAGGGTGATAATGTTTTCGATTTCAGCGAGCTGAGTGGTGACGATATTTTGGAGGGCGGCGAGTTCATTCTTTTTCGTGTTAGTGTAGAGCCTTTCAGCTTCCCGTTGAACATCCTTGAAACCCACATTAATCTGGTCGTTAACTTCGTCACGTAACGCATTCATGATTTCTTCAACTTCATTAGGCGCTTCTTTATAAATTCTTGTAGCTTCGTCAATGCAAGCATGAAGCTCATTCCATAATGCCCCCAGCTTTGTCTTAACCCCACTGACTTTCTCACCAAGCTTTCGAACATTTTCTTGTAGCTTCTTCAAATCCTTGTAGACGCTCCCCGTAGGATCTGTTTCAGTTCTGCCAACGCTCCCTTGAAGCGTTCCAAGCGAATCATGAATCTGCCTTTTAAACTCATCGACCAACTTCCGTAAACCCGTCGCAGATTCGGCCACACCATTAATACCTTTGAATTGCGTGAGTGTTACACTCTTACCAGCATCGGTAACAAGTTGGCTACATTCTCCAATTTTATTTTGAATAACTTCCGTGGCGTCTCTAATATCACTTTCCACTTGGCTTTTAATACATTTAACCACCTCTTGTAAAACTCTATGGGAGTGCTTGGAGATAGTTTCTGCTATAGCACCAAGATCAGTGAGAAGGGTTTTTGCTTCTTCTCCATTTAGGTTTCCATTACCTCCTTGGATCTTATCCTTTACCGAACCAATGGATTGCGAATGTTTAGATACGGTGTCTGTCAGATTAAGCCTCCTCACCTCTATCTTCATGCCACAAAGGTTCTCGATAGTATCGATTTCAGGGACTGCGGCATTAGCAACATTTTGAAGCTGCGCATCTGCATCTCGTAAAAAGTAGCTTAAATTATACATTCCGTCAGGACGGAATACTTTCTTCATACACTCACCTACCGTGTCCATGGCTTCCTTCACTTTTTGTATTAATTGTTGATCAATATCACTAAAATATTTCGTAAGTTTTTGGAAGGGATTGTTTCCACCAATTGCTTTTAAAAGTGGGGCTGTAACTTTCCTGTCGTACGCACCCTTAATAGTGTCAATTTCCGTTAGACCTCCAAGCCTCAACATGTCTTGATACACTTGTCCGATCGTATTCTCAAGCGCACTTTTTGTAATTGAAAATGCGGCATCGAGAGCCTCAGATGCCTCTTTAAGTGAGCTAACCTTGGCAACAACATGCTTTTCATATTTCGGGACAAGTGCCGTGATGTCACTCTGCACCGTATTAAAAGCTGCGTTCAGTTCGTCATGTACAGAATCACTCAGAGCCTTAAATTGCTCCTCCCGCACCTTTGTGAGCTTATGTAACAGTGTGTCAATCTCCTTCTTTAGATAATGTTGAATTCCTTGGATTCTTCCATTAAATCTATGACGAAGATAGTCAATAACCTTTGTCATCTTGCTCTCCGCCTTCTCATACACTTCCTTCAAGTCATCATTCCCCGCCGACTTCAGAAAACTCTTCGTCGCCTGCAACAGCAATGAAATGTTATTATTTAACCTACCTGAGAGTTGTGGATCCAATTTTTTGCTGGCCTCATCGGCCTGCTCTACATGACGGATATACTGTCCGGCTCGAGTACTCCACTCGTCGACTTGAATAATAAGACTCTTTTCACTGTCAGCATCTATGTTCTCCTTGTGTTGTTTAATGTCATGTTTAAGTGCCTCCAAGTGCCTTGTAACATCTCCAGTCCTCTCCTCCACCTGCGCACCATGTTTTTTCAACCACTCACTTACCTGAGACACGGCCTTCTCGAAGGCCTCACGGCCTTTACCTACACTATCATTTAATTTGTTAATTGTCTTAGTAATATTAATATCATGATTATCATCATAAGTTGTAACGTTCTCATCATCCTTCACACTCTCAAGAACTCCATGAAGGAAAGACATCACCCCGTCGCACAGCCTGTCAAGGTCGGAGTACACGATGCCTTCACCGGTGTAATTCCCTTTCTCGTAGCCGAGAAATTTTTCGAGGCCTTCAGTAAGATTTTTAAGAATTTCTGCACAATTTCCATCATGATTTTTATTAATTTTACTAACTTCATCACAATGTTGACAAAGCTTTTCAAGACTGTTGAGAGACGTCAAAGACTTCTGATGAGAGTCAAGGGATTTAGACTCTTTTTCAGGGAAAGCATTTTTGGCTTCATTAAGCCTTTCTTCAGCATCTTTAAGCTGTCTTTTAAGATGATCAACATTTTCCCCCTCCTCAATTTGCTTTTTAAGGCCATTCACTTTAGACTGAAGGCTATCAACTTTCTTTTTCTTAGCTTGAAGGTCATCAATTTTCTTTTGAACAGCTTCAATTACAGTTGTAATTTGCTTTGTAAGCTCAGGAATTTGTGAGGAAATTTTTGTTTTAAGCTTCTCATTTTCCTGTTGAAGCCTTGTAACATCAACAGAAACACTGTCTTGAGAATTCTTATTTTCTGCAAGTTTCTGCGCAATTTGTGATTGAAGAGAATCATAATTCTTACACTTTTTCTGCATATCTTCAAGAAGTTTCTGAAGCTCATCAACATCATTACACCCCTCACCTCCGCAAGACGTTTGTAAAAGCTTAACAAGCTGATTTACATTACTGTGCAAACCATATAAAATTGCATTCTTAACTTCATCTCCACCGCCAATAAAACCCGCAAGCTGTCCAGCAAGCTGACCAAGAGAGATACGTCTCTCATCAATATAACCTAAATCTTTATTTTTAGTTGGATTAGATTTAACAACATCCTCGAGCTCTTTACGCCTCTTTTCAAGACTATCTTCAGCCTTTTTAATAGCATCACCAATCAACTTTTGCAAAGCTTCAGCTAACTTATCAAGGCCACCGCCACCGTTCTTAACCTGGATCAGCCAGTCGATGGAGGCCGACGAAGGAGGCCGAGAAAGGTCAAAAGAGGTGAGAGAAGCAAGTGGGGAAAAGGTTAGAGAACAATTAGAGGAGGTGAAATGGACACTTTTGGAGAATTTTAGAATTTTTTGAGAAAGGCGATTTTAGGTGGAGGAGGCAGCGAGGCAGTGAGGGAGGTGGGTGGACAGGGCGGGGGAAGTGAAGGGGCGAAAGAGGGCGATGGAGGGGGAAGATGGGATGAGGAGAGGCGGTTTCGGAGGTCAAAGGAATTTTTTGGAAATTAAGTATTTTGGGTGAGGGACGCCGACGGAGGAGGTGATGAAGGGGGTGAAGGGCAGGGAGCGAAGCGACCAGTGAAAGAGGGAGGTGGGTGGGTGAGTGAGTGGGTGGGTGAGTGGGTGAGTATGTGAGTGGGTGAGTGAGTGGTTGAGTGGGTGAGTGAGTGGTTGAGTGGGTGGGTGAGTGAGTGAGTGGTTGAGTGGGTGAGTATGTGGTTAGGTGGTTGAGTGGGTGAGTGAGTGGTTGAGTGGGTGAGTATGTGGTTAGGTGGTTGAGTGGGTGAGTGAGTGGTTGAGTGGGTGAGTGAGTGAGTGGTTGAGTTGGTGAGTGAGTGAGTGAGTTAGTAGGTGGGTGAGTGAGTGGGTGGTTGAGTTGGTGGTTGAGTGGTTGAGTGGGTGAGTGGATGAGTGGGTGAGTGGGTGAGTGAGTGAGTGATTAGGTGGTTGAGTGAGTGGGTGAGAGGGTGGTTGAGTGAGTGGTTGAGTGGTTGAGTTGGTGAGTATGTGAGTGGGTGGGTGAGTGGGTGAGTGGTTGAGTGGGTGAGTGAGTGGGTGAGTGGGTGGTTGAGTGAGTGAGTGGGTGAGTGGGTGGTTGAGTGGGTGGTTGAGTGGATGGGTGGGTGGGTGAGTGAGTGGTTGAGTGGGTGAGTGGGTGGTTGAGTGGGTGGTTGAGTGGGTGAGTGGGTGAGTGAGTGGTTGAGTGGGTGGTTGAGTGGTTAAGTGGTTGAGTGGGTGGTTGAGTAGGTGAGTGAGTGAGTGAGTGAGTGAGTGGTTGAGTGGTTGGGTGAGTGAGTGGGTGAGTGAGTGGTTGAGTGGTTGGGTGAGTGGTTGGGTGGGTGGTTGAGTGAGTGGTTGAGTGGGTGGTTGAGTAGTTGAGTGGTTGAGTGGTTGAGTGGGTGGTTGAGTGGGTGAGTTGGTGAGTGAGTGAGTGGGTGAGTGAGTGGTTGAGTGGGTGGTTGAGTGGGTGAGTTGGTGAGTGAGTGAGTGGGTGAGTGAGTGAGTTGGTGGGTGAGTTGGTGGTTGAGTGGGTGAGTAGGTGAGTGAGTGAGTTGGTGAGTGAGTGGGTGAGTGGGTGAGTGGTTGAGTGGGTGAGTGAGTGAGTGGGTGAGTGAGTGGGTGAGTAGGTGAGTGAGTGGGTGAGTGGTTGAGTGGTTGAGTGGTTGAGTGGGTGGTTGAGTGGGTGAGTGGGTGGTTGAGTATGTGAGTGGGTGAGTGGTTGAGTGAGTGGGTGGGTGGGTGGGTGAGTGGTTGAGTGGTTGAGTGAGTGAGTATGTGAGTGGGTGAGTGGGTGGGTGGTTGAGTGGTTGAGTGGGTGAGTGGGTGATACACAGATCACACGTGAAGGCACGATTATGGTGAGAAGTACTTGACGTTGGCGAGTGCCTTGACGCGTGCGGCGGCGAGGAGGGACTGCGCGGCGATGCGGTGGCTTGAGGGCGAGCGCAGGTGGGAGCGGATGCGGAGGACGTCGAGGCGGACGACGGCGATGTGCAGCAGGTAGAGCAAAGAGAGCGACCAGAGGGCTAATAAGAGGTAGGAGAAGGAGTTGAAAAATGTTGAAGGATTTTTTTAGGCACATTTTTAGGGTGATTTGGGGAATTTGGAGAAAGGCGAATTTAGGTCAAGGAGGCAGCGAGGCAGCGAGGGAGGTGGGTGGACAGGGTGAGGGAGGTGAAGGGGCGAAAGAGGGCGATGAAGGAGGGAGAAGGGTTGAGGTAAGGCGGTTTTGGGGGTGGAGGGGAGAGGTGGAAAATGAGGATTTGGGTGAAGGACGCCGACGGAGGAGGTGATGGAGGGGGAGGCACGGAGCGAAGCGACCAGTGAAAGATGAGGTGAGTGGGTGAGTGGTTGAGTGGGTGAGTGAGTGAGTGGTTGAGTGGGTGGTTGAGTGGGTGAGTGGGTGAGTGGTTGAGTGGTTGAGTGGGTGAGTGGGTGGGTGATACACAGATCACACGTGAAGGCACGATTATGGCGAGAAGTACTTGACGTTGGCGAGTGCCTTGACGCGTGCGGCGGCGAGTAGCGATTGCGCGGCGATGCGGTGGCTTGAGGGTGACCTCAGGTGGGAGCGTATCCTCAGGACGTCGAGGCGGACGACGGTGATGTGCAGCAGGTACAGGAGCGACAGCGACCAGAGGGCTAAGAGTGTCCATATGAATGGTTCACGAATCTTGAACAGGAAGTCTGGTATTAATTTATGTACCAACGTATACAATACGTTCCCTTCCTTTACAACTTTTTCTAATGTACTGCAAAAGTCTTCACATGTACGTTTTCCAGTTCCATCTCTCTCTCCATTCAGGTGAGATTTACTTGCAAAATACATACCATACTTACATAATGTGGGAAGTGTCATTTTACAGTTGACAATCGATTTGCACTCCGACCAATGACTGGGAGTTGATTTCGCATATAGGAATCCTCCTTTAACCATGCACTCCTTGTGACATCCTCGACCATTGCACGTGGTTCCCGGCTTAGTGCAATTACTGCAGCACTCCTCATACAGCGACTTAAGCAAATCATAAAACGTTCCTGTTATATATAGCACCCAAGAGAGATATTTGGCAGCGTGGTCTTTAGAAACCGCACCGTATATACCATCGCAAAGCGGCTTCAAGTATGAACCGCAGGGATGGACTGGGCTGCCCCCGTTATCTTGGCATTTTACAAGGGTATTGAGGCCACCTGTCAGATGGTTTTCAGAGTGATTACTGCTGCCGACCAGACTGCTAACGTCCAACGTTGTGCTTGAATTGTCGAAATTGGCTGCGATGACGGCCTTATTAAAGGCATCTGTCCTATGTGCCGTGTTCTTAAACGGGTCACTGAGCAGATGATAATAAAACGCAAACATCTGATCCAACGTTTTAGGCGCACTGGGCAGTACGCAATTTAGCTGACTGCACAACTTGGTTAGGGGAGAGTGTACACTGTGGCAGAATTTGTAAAGAACATCGCATATATGAGCTCCCGTCTTTGTGTGTGATGCGGTGAGGCTTATTTCCGAGAAGCCCATTGGAGTTCTGCAGGGAATGCCAGGGGACCCCTTACTACAGGTGGAACAAGTGAGGCCGGTGCCTCTAACTGTTACGCTATGTGGCAAGAACCCCTGGAGACCATCTTCGAGGAAGGATTGTAGAGGGGATTTTAGGCCACAGTTAGGGTGTTGCTTACATGCTTGGTTAGTGCTTTGGTTGGCACGTTGGTTACCATTTTGGTTGGCACTTTGGTCAGCCTTTTGAGGACAGTCTAGGTCAGCGCATTGGTTTGTGTTGCAGTTCCACGACGAACCGCCGACGTTTCTACCGTAATGGCAATCGCTCCAACCGCTAAGTTTGGAAGTGTGTTTACATTGCTGATACAACAGATAAAGCTGGTGGTGGACACGTTTCAGGCATTCGAAGAGCATACAGACTAATGCGTTAAAGTGAGCGGGATATAGGAACCCTTGTGGATTCGTATTGAAGTCGCAAGCATAAATTCCACCCGAGTGGCCGTGCCCAAGGATTGCGGTGAGTACGGCGTGTGATTTGTGGCACACTGCTGCAAGGGTGTCTGACAGGCCCGTAGCTGTGATCCTCTTTGGATATGCCTCTAAAGCGTCGTCATCTTCCACTAGGACGACAGGCTCAGCACTGTTGCTGTCCTCTGACGCCGGTATCTTAGGCTTATCAAATAGCTGAGGAAAACCGTTAAGTGCTAAGTCATTGTTTACGGCATTATAAGTGAGACCGCTAAGCCATGTGAGCATATCATAAATAGATGACGGATGCTTAGGCTTAGGGTGGACAATTAGGTGAGACACACGGTTATATTGGTGGAGGTGTCTGACGAGACATTCGAGAATGTCTGTCACATTAAACTGTATTTTTGCAGGAGCTTGTGTAATTTCTTCACTTTCTTCATGCTCCTTACACTTCGGAAGATGTGGATTACGCTCGGCGCCGTCAATGTTTTCATTTAGTTTTGTATGTATATGCTGACCTCGGAACTTTTCATTTCCGCGCAGCTCACCGTCTTGATTATCTGTCTTGCATACAATAAAACCGTTATCGGCAAGGAATTCACCAAGCGTAGTGGATTTGCTAATCTTTTCAAATTTACATGTGCCTTTACAAATGGTTTTTAATGCGTTTAAGTCGTCAGATAATATGGAAAGCAGTGTGAGGAAGACTTTTGCGCACTTCGTGCCGTACGTTGTTAACTTCCCGGATGTACGTCCATCAGCGTGTACTTTAGTCTCCGTCAACGAAGCACCAAAGTTAACACCATCATACACCGACACGTACGCCTTTTCGAGTTCAGCGTGGAACCCTCTCAGTCCGACCTTGAGAACGTCCGGCAGCGTGTTGCACGGGCCCTCGAAATTTGTCGGAACTAAACTATTAAGTGCGGTGCTAAGGTTACCAAGATTAATGGTGAGACTGTGAGTGAAGTGATTGGAGTTGTGAAGTTCGTCGAGGAGAGTGTTTAGTTTGGATTGCACGGCGTCAAGTGCGTCGGCGTAAGGATGTGGATCCTTATCTCCAATTGTTACTGGAGGATTCTTCTTTGCGTTGCTGTCTTTATAGAGTCTCATGATCTCCGTGTCCAAATACCCCTTTAGTGGCCCGAAGAATTCCTTGAATTTTGTAGACAGCGTTTTGAAGAGTGTTGCTTTCTGCTCAGCTGTGTCAGCGGACTCACTTGCAAGATCTTTGAGCTTTTTAATGTTTTCGTCAGTCGTTGCATTATCGGTAATTTTGCCTTCAACGGTTCTCATAAAACCCTTGAAGCCCTCCTTTCGCTCTTTGTCAATTTGCTTGGGCAAATCTTGCAGCTCCTTTTGCACCTTATCGGCGAAGGCCTTCAGCATCTCTTTGACTGACGTCACGTAAATTTTCTGTGCCTGTTTGATCATTAGCTTTTTAGCGTTCTCTATTTCCTTGTCGACTTGTCCCCGGAGTTTTTCGATAGTTTCATCTCGAAGTTTGTAGGCGTCCGGTTTAAGGAATTTCTCAGCAGCACTGAGGGCCTCAGTTACCGCAACGCCGTGAAGCTCTTTAAGTTGTTTGTGTATTTTATGTAGGCCTTCTCCATCCTTGTTTAAAGAGATCTCCCTTTTAAGCTTCTCCAATTGCTCAATGACCTTTTTGCCAGCGATGGCAAATTCCCCTGTCAGAGCCACGAGATTAGATTTTATTTGGTCGGACAATGTCGCCATGGCAGTTGTATCGCCAGTGGTTAGTTCTACCGCTTTGTTTTTTACAGCCTCAATTGCCTCGTCCAGGTTTTTGGCGTGATTAGGTTTGCCGGATGAGCCGGCGGGGTGTCCAGTTGCCTCGTTGAGTTGGGAGTGGAGCGAGTTAAGCGGTTGCTGCACTTTTCTCAATGCGTCATCTATTTTCTTGCCGTAGTCGTCTGCTTCGTCACCTTGCCCGTCAATGTGCTTATTGATTTTGTTGACATTCCTTATAGCATCATGAACGTTACCAAGATAGTATTGCGTAATTATTGTACTGATGTCATCGACATTCCGTTTCGCCGTGGCGTGCAAGGCTGCTAGAGCCGCTTCGACTGCACAAGTAAGACTTGCTGGGTTGGAAGTTGTCGTTCTTGGCAGTAAACCGGATGGTTGAGAAAGCGGCTGGATAATTTCTTGTATCAGCGCGCCGCTTCGGTCGGTTGTAAGTTTCATGCCAAGCTTGGTGGAAAAGTGATCGATGCCACTCTTCACAGCGTTAAGATTTGTGGTAATACTGTCGATGCCGGGTTTTTGGATTTCACTTGTGACTAATTCACCAGCTTCGTTGGCTTCCGCTCCAACAACATTCATGATACGATCCTTGAGAGGATTTTGCAGATGACCAAGATTGCTATATCTCAGCGGCGAACCGCTGCTGGCATGTTCCCAAAGCTTCTTCTTAACCATCTCATTATTTTTCATAATATCATCAACCCATTGCTTCACCATGCCTTGAAACTTATTTTCGCGGGATCTATCATTTTTACTGAACCCCTGCGCATACTTTTCTACCTCCTTCACAATCTTTTGAGGCCGTAGCTGGAATATTCAGTACCGCTAATTTGATTTACAAGCGCCGTAATTTGCCTCTGAAGCTCACTCCAATTATAATCGATACTGTCATCTTGTCCGGAGCCATTTCCAATAACCCCTTCTTTAATCTCCCCAACCTTCCTCTAACATGTTCCAAAATCCCTTTAATATTTTTATTAGTTTCATCTTTGATCTCACTAAACGCCCCTGCAAGCGCCGTAATCCTCACGTCAACTTCACCAGTCAGCCTCGTAAGCTCACTTATATACCTTTCAAGCCAACCACCCAATCTTTAACCTGCCCCGCTTTTGCGTTAATCATCTCCTGATTATTCTTTCCGGGCTTCTTATCGGCAATTTCCGTCGTCCCTTCCATTGCACTATTCACCATAGTGTCCGCATTTTTCATCCACTTTTCCAACTCGAAAATGTAGTTGCTCAGCTTTTTGAAAGTGTCGTTGAGCAAATCTTTAATTTTTTGAACCAATGCTTTCAAATTCTCAACTAGTGTTTTCACTTCCCTGCTAATATGTGCGTTAACGTCTACTCCGAGCTTTTGAAGCACCGTCGTAATCTTCATTTCCATACTTTTCAAGTCCTTCCATTCCTTCTCCGACAATTTACGAAGCCTCTCAGTCTCATGCTTAATCTGTTTTCTCGCGTTGATCACGTTATTCTTACACTGTGAATTGAGATCATTTATATTTTGTTCCAAGGGCTGAAGCCTACTCTCAAACGTTGCGCCGTATCCCACATAGTTTTCGGCAAACAGTTTTGCATCACTAACCTGTTCACCAATATACTGCAGTTTACCAAAAATTTCTTCACCAGGAATCTTCGTAATCATGCTCTCGAACTCTTCACCTACCTTCTCTAACAATCTTTCAATCCTTCTCTTGGCTTTTTTGTTCGACACCTTCACTTCCTCATTATACCCCCCGACACCCGTGGCCACCTGGGCAATGACACTCTTAAAACCCTCATGACCTGAACCTAATTTACTACTAAGATGACTCAAAACATTATTCTGTAACGTTGTTTTACCAACAGTGTAGGGCTGTTTATCGTGGACATCTTTGAGCACGGAATGCAGAAACGCCATCACCCCGTCGCAGAGCCTGTCAAGGTCCGAGTACACGATGCCGGAGCCATCGTAGCCTTTGGAAGTTTCTTGGTATCCAAGGAACTTTTGTAAACCGTCAGTGAGATTTTTAAGAATTTCTGTTGCAGGATTAACCTTATCTTCCTTGCCAATAAATTTCTCAAGATCTTGTTTGAGCTTACTAAGAGTCTTCTGCCTCTCCTCAATGTCCCCTAAGGCTCCTTTTCTCGCATCCTCAATAAGGTAATGAACGCCATTATAATGGTCATTGTAGTTGGATTAAAGGTGGATTAGGGGAGAGTTAAAAGAAGTAAAGGGAGGTGAAATGGCACATTTTAAGGGCGATTCGGGGGAATTTGGAGAAAGGCGATTTTAGGTCAAAACAGCAAGGAAAGAGGAGTAGATGGACAAGTGAAATGAAAAGAACGAAAGAAAAGGAAAAAATCGACTGAAACTTGATAGAAATTGGAAGGAAAAATTGAAAAATGAGAGATTAGGTAACAGACACTCGAACAGAGGAAGATGGAAGGAAAGAGAACAGGACAAGCGATAAATAAAGGAAGATGGTCATTGAAGTAAATGGAGTGATGAAGTGGTTAAAGTGAAGTGGTTAAGTGGAATTAGGTGGTGGAGTGGTTGAAGTAATCTAGATCCAGTGTCACTGATATAGTGAAATGCAAACGTTAGTAGAGTACCCTAACCTGTCACAGCAACGAGGAGACTTCTGCGGTCTGATAACAGGCGAAACCTGAAGTGGGAGCAATATCCTCAGGACATCAAGGCGGACAGAAACGGCAATATGTACAGAGCAGGTGAGCGACCAGAGGGCTAAAAGTGTCAGTGAGAATGGCTCTCTGATTTTCCATAAGAAATTGGGAATTGTCTCGTGTATAATTTCTGAGAGGACAGAACGATCGGAGCATACATTTTGGAGCTGTACAATAAATGTTTTACACGTCCTCTTCGGAATATCTTTGTCATCAATTCTGCCATCCAAATTGGTTCTGTCTCCAAATGTGAAGCCGTATGCATACAAGGCAGGATGAGTATAACGGCAATTAAGAATGGAATTACATCGGCCATCATGTTGCATATCGGTTCCTTCAAAATAGGATTGTTTCGAAAAACTGCAAATATTCTTGGCGCAACCGGTTACACGGCATCTTGATTTCTCTGATCCGCAGTTACCATGACAAGCTTTGCTTAGCTGACACAATAAATCGTAAAACGTCTCAGTGAGATAGACAATCCACGATAAGTAATTAGACGCATTTTTGGAGGCCAACGTGCCATAAATATTCTGGCTTAATGAAGCCATGTATGCGCCACATTGGTTATTTGCTTCATAACATGATACTTCGGGTTTACTTAAACTATACAGATCACTGCGGTTCCGAAGCAAGGTGGATTTGGAGCGTCCATTCGGGATAATTTTGAAATGCTCTCTATGTGTGAACAAATCCGAACACACATCGAGGTCGCTGACAAAGGTGAAGGATGAGGAACTGACAGCGCCATCTAAAGCCTGTTTTCTATGATCAACTTCGGAAGTCCAATTCCTGAGGAGTTGGTAATAGAACCCAAACATCTCACCCAGTGTTTTCGGCGCACTTGGAAGAAGGCAATTGAATAGACTACATAGGTTACTTAGGCAGGCTGTTGAATCACCACAGAAACCTACAAGAACATCTCTGAGATATTGACCAGTTTTAATATGCGATGCCATGGAAGCGATTTCAAGGAAGCCCATTGGCATCTTACACGGCATTCCACGTGACATGGAACACGAGAAACATGACATCTTTGACCCCTTAGATGTCAGCGAATGCGGCAAGAAGCCTTGTAAACCATCCTCTAAAAAGGACTGGAGCGGCGATTTAAGGCCACAAGTAGGATGTTGCTTGCACGTTTGGTCAGCCGTTTGGTTGCATTTTTGGTTGGCATTTTGGGTATCACCTTGGTTAAATGCTTGGTCACAGGCTTGGTTGGGGCATCGCATTGTGTTGCAGTTCCAAGCGGAACCACCAACTGCGTTGCCGTAATGGCATTCACGCCAGCCACTCAACGCAGTAGTATGACAGCATTGCCGATATAGGAAATGTAGTTGTTGGTAGAGACGTTTGAGCATATCAAACGTTAGGCATATTAATGTGTTTAAGTCAGTAGGGTATAGGAGACTTTTTGAATTGGTATAAAAATCACAGGAATATGTGCCACTCGCATGGCCGTGGCCGAGAAGTGCGGTAAGAACACGGTGAGAGTACGCAGTCACATCATGAAAGCTACTTTCTAGATTAGTCGCCGAGAATCCCTTGGGATAAGCGGAGAGTGCATATTTGGATGAATATATGCGTTCTTTTACATTCTGCGGCTCATCGAATAGTTTTTTAAAGTAAGCGTTAAGTGGTGCAAACATCGGATTAAAAGGGAAACCGGAGAACCAAACTAATACTTCGAAGACACTACATGGAAGCCTAGATGACTTTAAGGCGACTAAGTGACGCGTCCTATAATGTGCTGCTACATGTTTGTATATACATTCAAGAATATCCAAGACATGTATTCTCTCTTGTTTCGATAGACAACTCTTAAGATGATGATTGCTGTCGGTATTTTTAACTGCGCTCGCCAACAGTCTACTTATTTTTTCACCGGTCATTGTGTCTTTGTTTTGCAGTTGACCGTCATGGGAATTACGTTCTTTAGAAACGTCGTAACCCATTTTGTGCAATAAAACACCAGGACCGGATTTTGCGTAGATTGGACGTGACGGATAGTTGTTTTTGCATTGATCTTTTAGATGCGTCAAGTCTTCGTTCAGCATCTTCAAAATCGAGAGGCAGACCTTAGATAAATTTTTACCATACGGTGTCAAAGCATAATTTGCGGCATCGACGGGTTTTATTTTCACGAATTCTTGCCACTCAAATTTGTCCGGATGCCCCTCATACCTATTAACATACCCCCTCTCCAGCTGCTCGACGAACGGCAGCAGGCTCTTGGGGAAAGCGTCGAGCACGGGGTACGCGGGGTTGCCGAAGGCTGCGGAGGTGAGGGATTCGACGGATGTCTTGAGTTTTTGGAGCATTCCGGGTACCTGGTGGTCGAAGTGTTTTTGCTCGGACAGGTGGGAGAGGAGAGTTTGGAGCTGGGAGTGGATGGACTGGAGTTGGGGGGAGTATTGGGAGGATGGGAGATGTTTGGGGAGGTCGGCGGAGAGGTATGTGTAGATGTGATTTAGGTAGGCGAGGGATTTGTCGGAGAGGGATTGGAATTTGGCGTGGTGGGTGGTGGATGCAGCTGACTTCTCATAATTTTGGAGGTCGTCGATTTTACCTTTCATTTTTTTCAATAAGCCTTTTACACCGCTGTTCAAATCTTTTTGAATGGTGTGTTCGATGCTTGTAATTGCAAAGTGCAGTCTAGTTTTCATCTCTTTGAACATATGACTAATCTTTTTGCTGTATTGGTCTTTAGCGTTTTCTTGAATAGCACGGGTGGCTTCTTTAATTTTGGCATCAATATCATCTCCCAGTTGATTGAGCAGTGTTTTAATTACTTTAGGCGCTTCATCAAGAAAATGCTTGACATCATTAATACAAAGACGTATATCTCTACCAAAGGCTATGATATTTTTCTGAACCTTAGTAAGGTGTTTTCCAAGATCAGTTAACCTCCTCTTAAGTTCATTAAACTCTGCGTAGACAGTTCCTTTGTTGGATGGAGGATCCCTAGCTGTGCCAACGCTTTTTTGGAGATGTCGAAGCTCACCATCAATATGTGTCGCGAATTCACCAACCAGAAATTTGAGGCTGGACACCTTTTCCTGAACCCCGGGAGGACCGACGCCAGTCGGATTATTTATAGCCGCTGCAACTTTATCTACCAGGCCCTCGATAGCGGTACCAACAATGTGGATCTCTTCAGCAATCTTACTCTCAATTGCATCCATTACACTGCGTACAACAGTCTTACAGTGGTCGGATACAATTTGAGGAATGGCACCCAGCTCTGAGAGAAGAGCTTTTGCTTCATTTTTAACAGTATCGTATGTCTTGGCACTGATTGCATCCATTACCTTTTGTATGGTCTTAATGCTAGAGAACTTGTTCTTCAGATCATGTCGTATAAGATCCTTTAAGTTCACTCCGTCAATTTGAATTGTTTCTACTTTTGGAAGATTTTTTATTTCATCAAATAGCCGTCTCACTGTCAAAAGAGGATCCTTAGCCTTTTCCACAGTGCTTACCAAATCGTGTTTGCTTACAAATGTATACAACCCCTCACCTATCTTGTCATTGACCTCCTTGACATTTTTCATAATTACTTCATCAAGATCGCTGAAATAGGCTATGAACTTATTAAATGCTGTGCGGCCACCAATCTGCTTAAGTAGAGGGGCTTCGGCAGTGCCTCCGTATGCATTTTCAATATTTTCATTGACCGTAAGCAGTCTAAGATTAACGACATCCTTTCTCACCTTCTCAATCAGGCTTTCAAGCACACCTTGAGTTGCTTTGAATTTGTCTAAAAACTGCTGTGAAGTGTTGTTAATCTTATTGACTTCTTGATAAACATTTTTGTCATAATTTCGTATAACACTGTCTATCCCAACGCTTACCATGCTTAAGGCATTTTGAAGATCTACATCAACTGACCTAACCAAGTCATCAAATTGATTTTTCATCACCCCTTCAAGTTTGTCGCGCAATGCTGTGATATTATCTTCGAGATACCTCTGAAGCATTTTAATTCTTGCGTCAACTGCAAATTCAACGAACCCTCCCACGTCTTTCAACTCACTCCCGGCTAGGGCTACCACGTCTCTCAATTCTGTATTTTTTGCGGCGGCTGCGAACTCCCTCACCTGCAATTTAACGTAGTTTATCGAAACGTTTAACTTATCTCTAAGGTTTTCGTCGAGCTGGTTATACGCACCTTCAGCAAAATCGAAGGCGTCAGAAAGGTCCATGGCGTAGTTTATGCACTTCCCCAAGTATTCAGCAACATATGCAAGTGAATCATTATCAGTGAGACTATTAAGATTACTAAGTGTAGCAGACATTACAGTGATATGTTGATCTTTAAGTGTGCTAAGTGCTTCTTGAAATGTTTTCTTCCGCTCTTCGAGCTCACCGCTCCACGCCTGCAGCGCCGCGGAGACTTCTGTGATGGCTTCCTGAAAACGATTAGAACCTTTATGCATAAACTTACTGATTGAAGAAAGAAGATTCTTGATTTTATTATCTTCATCATACGTTTTAACAGCATCATCATTTTTCACACTCTCAAGAACTCCATGAAGGAAAGACATCACCCCGTCACACAGCCTGTCAAGGTCCGAGTACACGATGCCCTCTCCGGTGTAATTACCATTTCGGAAGCCGAGAAATTTTTCGAGGCCTTCAGTAAGATTTTTAAGAATATCATTACAGTTTCCATCTTTATTTTGCTTCATTTTATTAACACTCTCATGAAATTTCATAAGCTTCTCAAGACTTTGAAGCGATGTCAACGAAGCCTCATGAGACTTCAATTTAGCCTGCGCAGTTTCAAGAGGATTGGAAAGATGGGAGGGAATGGAGATATTTTTAACATTATTTTGAGAGCCTTTTTGCTCATTTTTATGCGCTTCAATTTTGGATTGAATTTCTCTCATTGTGTCAGTAAGCTTCTGACTTACACCAGAAACATTATTGTTAAGCTCCTGAATTTTTGTAGGAATTTCTTCTTTAAGCTTATCTAATTGAGGTTGAAGCTGAGAAATTTCTTTTTCAAGTTCCACAGTTTTTTTCTTAATTTGCTCATCAATCTCAGACTGACTGTCGGACGGCGCCCTTTCAGGCGCCTCACTTTTTTCAGCAATTTCTTTTTTAAGGCCTTCAATTTCTCTCTCAATATTATCAATGTCATTAAATGTCTTTTGAAGTTTTTTAAGATGTTCAACACTGAAACTGTTAACATCATTACAACACCCCTCATCTCCGCAAGATGCTTGTAAAAGCTTAACAAGCTGAGTTACATTACTGTGCATACCATTCAAAATTGCATCTTTAACTTCCTCTCCATCTCCAATGAAACCCGAAAGCTGTCCAGCAAGCTGACCAAGAGAGATACGGCGGGCATCAATGTCCCCTAAGGCTCTTTTTCTGGCATCCTCAGTAAGGTAATGAACGTCATTATAATGGTTATTGTAGTTGGATTAAAGGTGGATTAACAGAGAGTTAGAAGAAGTAAAGGGGGATGAAATGGCACATTTTCAGGGCGATTTGGGGGAATTTGGGGAAAGGCGATTTTAGGTCAAGGAGGCAGCGAGGGAGTGAGGGAGGTGGGTGGACAGGGTGAGGGAGGAAGATGGGTGGAGAGAGGGCGATGAAGGAGGAAGATGGGTTGGGATAAGGCGATTTTAGGGGTGGAGGGGAAAAGTGGAAAATGAGGATTTGGGTGAAGGACGCCGACGGAGGAGGTGATTAAGGAGGAGGCAGGGAGCGAAGCGACCAGTGAAAGAGGGAGGTGGTTGAGTGGGTGAGTGAGTGGGTGGTTGAGTGGGTGAGTATGTGGGTGATACACAGATCACACGTGAAGGCACGATTACGGTGAGAAGTACTTGACGTTGGCGAGTGCCTTGACGCGTGCGGCGGCGAGGAGGGACTGCGCGGCGATGCGGTGCGATGCTGGTGATCTCAGGTGGGAGCGGATGCGTAGTAAGTCGAGGCGGACGACGGCGATGTGCAGCAGGTACAGGAGCGACAGCGACCAGAGGGCTAATAAGAGGAAAGTGAAGAAGTTGAGAAATGTTGCAGGATTATTTTAGGCACATATTCAGGGCGATTTGGGAGAATTTGGGGAAAGTCGATTTTAGGTCAAGGAGGCAGAGAGGGAGGTGGAGGGACAGGGTGAGGGAGGTGAAGGGGCGAAAGAGGGCGATGAAGGAGGAAGATGGGTGGAGGTAAGGCGATTCAGGAGGTGGAGGGAGAAAGTGTAAAATGAGGATTTGGGCGAAGGACTCCGACGGAGGAGGTGAGGGAAGGGGTGATGGAGGGAGGGAGCGAAGCGACCAGTGAAGGAGGGTGGTTGAGTGGTTGGAGTGGTTGAGTGTTAGGTGAGTGAGTGGTTGAGTGGGTGGGTGAGTATGTGAGTGGGTGAGTGGGTGGTTGAGTGGGTGGTTGAGTGGGTGGTGGTTGAGTGATTAGGTGAGTGGGTGAGTGGGTGGTTGAGTGAGTGGGTGGGTGAGTGGGTGGGTGAGTGGTTGGGTGGGTGGGTGAGTGAGTGGGTGAGTGAGTGAGTAGTTGAGTGGGTGAGTGAGTGAGTGGTTGAGTGGTTGGGTTGGGTGTGATGGGTAGTGGGTGGTGAGTGGTGGTTGAGTGGGTGGGTGAGTGGGTGAGTGGTGGTGAGTTAGGTGAGTGGGTGGTGAGTGGGTGAGTGGGTGAGTGGTTGAGTGG